TAGATAAGCATTGCATTCCTCCATCCTCATTTCTACTCTTTTTTTTCTTACTTTCCCACTACTAGTTTGAATTTTTTAAAATATCTTTTTATAAGATAAGATTATGAGATCATTTTTAAATGATTTAAGCATGTGTATTGGCGACAGATCCATTAGAAACATTCAAATTAATTATATTTTTTATATATAATCTATAAGAGTAACAATACTAATAATAAAATTGAAAATACTATTAATAGGTTATATTCTTTTAAAATTAAACATAAAATTACATAGCACAGACTCATAAGAAATAAATTTTAAATGCAACAACTCGTAAATAACATACTAAACCATGATGAAAGATAATATTAGTTTGATATTATTGTAATTTAATTAATATTAATATATAATTTAAATTCATGATAATGGAATTTGTTAGATCTATCATTTTATTTAGGATCCATAAAAAGTAAAATAAAATAATAACATATGATCTATTAAAATATGATAAAATATGAAAAATTTAATAAAACACGTGTCGAATATAAGATGATCTAATAATATCCGAGATATTTTATACTATACTAATACATATATATTTTTCTTTATAATACATCAGTATACTTTCTCTAATATTCTATCATAATAATATTTTAACTATTTATATCAAGGGGAATTCTCTTCAATACCATGAAAATACGTATGTTTTCCAAAAATACTATTACAAGTTTTATTATCCAAAAACACTAGCTATTAAAATATACATATTTTTTCCAAAAGTATTACAAAACTAAAACTAATAGTCAAATTTTCAGTATGTTATGTTTATTTTTACTAGGAGAAATTGTAACGGTGCTTTCCACTTTTTAGCACAATATAGTTGTAATTTTTTTTTGTCTTTTTACTCTGACTGTTTTAATACCCCAATTTTGTTATCACAACAATTGTAACATGATTACATTAATTCATCTATATACTTATATTTTGACTGGAAAAAAACTAAAACTAATATTTTTAACATTCAAAACTAATTTCTAAATCCTAAACACTAAATCCAACTTTTAAAACTATACCCTAAATATAGTTAGTCAACCCAAACATAAAAAAACCCTAATTAAAGTCTCTTAAACCTAATCAAATTAATTTTTTCAAAGTCTCTTAAAGGAGAACTCATTTTCACCCTCTTTTGGAAAAACCTAATTTCATACTTTTTAAGTTATTTATATTTGTGAAAGATTCAATGAAAGATTTTCATCGTACATATATGTTTTTACTATTTCTGATGTCATTTATTAAATAATGAACCTCACACCTCATGCTCGTTGTCGTTGCGATAGCTCTAGCCTCTAGTGAAAAAATATACGTCGTGTTGAAGAAAATGATAGTTGAATGCATAAGTAAGATAATACACAGTTGGGTTGCATCGTCCAACCACATGTGCGAAGTGATTTTTGACGAATGCGTTAAGATTTACCCGTCAATAAAAGCATCCACTGATGATGATTGATGATATCTTTGTTTGTGAAAGAGAGCTACATATAGTGGATTTTTGTTCCTTTTTAAATGAGCCAAGAAAATGTACATACGGTAATCGATTATTTATGTGTTACAATTTCCAAATGTATAGCTTGTTGTTATCGTCTTCAACTTCGTTATGAGCATTGTAGATAGTCCAATATGCTAAATTTTAATTTTGTAAACATGTATTATATAACAGAGATTATTTAGTCATAAGGGTAAGTTTATGCAAATTATTTTTTGCAAGTGGATTCATTTAATTTTCTTGATAGAACATCATTTGAAAGATTTTTCTAAAGTTATACAGTAAGGAAATATTTATGTATATTAATACAGGATTCATTGATTAATATTTATGATCTTTCAGAAATAAAAACTTATGATTAATTACTTATTAACTTCAAGTAAGGTTTAAGTGTATAATAATATCGTTGTAAAGAGTTAAAGAGTAGGAGTTATTAAAAAAAAAAAATTTAGAGAGAGCAGAGGCGCATACACACACTTACATTTTTCATTTAAAAGAAAAATATCACACACACTCTCTACAAATCTCAAATCACAAATCCCATCTTCACCTTTGAGTGCGAGATCTGATCGTATCGGCGAAGAAACAATCAATGGAGATCTTCTACTTCGTGGTGTTCGGTGGCCTCGCTGCGATCGTCGCCGGCTTGGAGCTCAGCAAATCCAACAAAGACCGCATTAACACCTCCTCCGCCTTCAACTCCTTCAAGAACAACTATCTCCTCGTCTACTCTCTCATGATGGGTGAGTCTCTGAGTACATCTCTCTCGATGATCTCTCGATCCATTGTCCTGCGCGATCGATTTTGTTATTTTGTCTAGCTTAGTGTCGGTGGAACTAGATCGATTTGACCTGAATGAATGAATGTTGCTCCCATCGATGATGATTGTCTGTGGAATTAGATCCTTAATCCAACAACTATTTTGCTCTCCCTTTAGCTGGGGATTGGTTGCAGGGTCCCTATGTGTACTATCTCTACAGCACTTACGGCTTCGGCAAGGGGGAGATCGGTCAGCTCTTTATCGCTGGTTTTGGATCTTCCATGTTGTTTGGCACCATTGTTGGATCTCTTGCCGACAAACAGTAAGCCATCTTTTCCATTTTCTTCTAGATATTGCTCTCTCATGTTCCATCTTTAATGCCTGTTTCTTTTCTCTGTTACATTCTCTAGGGGTCGCAAGAGAGCTTCTATTACCTACTGCATTACCTACATTCTCAGTTGTATCACCAAACATTCTCCCCAGTACAAAGTTTTGATGGTCGGCCGTGTTCTTGGTGGTATTGCTACTTCCCTCCTCTTTTCTGCCTTTGAATCCTGGCTGGTTGCTGAGCACAACAAGAGAGGTTTCGAGCAGCAGTGGCTATCTGTCACTTTCTCAAAGGCTATTTTCCTTGGTAATGGATTAGTCGCCATCATTGCTGGACTCTTCGGCAATTTCCTTGTGGATTCTCTTGCCCTCGGTCCTGTTGCTCCTTTCGATGCTGCTGCTTGCTTCCTTGCTATTGGTATGGCTGTTATTATTTCATCATGGTCCGAAAACTATGGAGATCCATCAGAAAACAAAGATCTTCTTACCCAGTTCAAGAACGCCGCATCTGCAATTGCTTCTGGTGCCATCTCTTATCTTGCCTGCTTTTTGACTTAATATGGGTTTGCTTCTAGCTTTATTCCGCTAACCACTTCAATTATTGAATCAGATGAAAAGATCGCATTGCTTGGTGCCATACAGTCTCTGTTTGAAGGGTCCATGTACACCTTTGTGTTTCTCTGGACTCCTGCTTTGAGCCCTAATGAAGAGGACATTCCACATGGTTTCATATTTGCAACATTCATGCTGGCTTCCATGCTTGGTAGCTCCATTGCCTCTCGTTTGTTGGCACATTCGTCTCCAAAAGTAGAGAGCTATATGCAGATCGTATTTGTGATATCTTCTGCAGCTCTAATGCTTCCTGTTGTAACAAGCGTACGCTCTCTGTCTTGATATCTCTCTCTATTTACTTTCCATATTCAAGGAGTATTACCAATATAATAACTTCTCAAATCGCAAATTGGAGCAGTTCTTGGTGGCGCCCTCCGGTGTAAAAGGTGGAAGCATATCCTTCTCTGGATGCATTCAGTTAATGGGTTTCTGCACATTTGAAGCGTGTGTAGGGATCTTCTGGCCATCTATAATGAAGATGAGATCGCAATACATTCCAGAGGAAGCCAGAAGCACCATCATGAATTTTTTCCGCATCCCACTCAACATCTTTGTCTGCCTTGTATTGTACAATGTGAGTTTTCCATATCTTTTAATTACGACATCTTCGGGACAGTGGTTTTATTATCACTCCTAATAAGGAACATTGTGTTCCGAACACAATTTTTACACACCTCTAGCTTTGGGTAAATATTTGGCTTGGCCTACTGAGCGTATCTAGGTTTCATTTCGTTCATAATTATTTAGAACAAGTTACCTTGGCTTTGCTCTTAGATCCTTAGTGTGCAATCTAAAACTTATTCATTCATTATCCATCATATCGGGTCTTCCTTATCTAAGGAGTATTATCCAAGGCTATCCCTTAGATACTTAGTGTATAATTTACAAGTTATTTATTCAATATCTCTCATCTGGATTGTTTGTTTGGATGTAAACAAAAGATGTATTGCCATGGACCTAACGAGCTTTTCTGATCTTTGTGTGCTAAAGGTCGACGCGTTTCCAATGACTGTTATGTTTGGAATGTGCTCTGTATTCCTTTTTGTGGCCTCTATATTGCAGAGGAGGTTGATGAATGTAGCCGAGATCCACAGATCAAGTAAGTCGTCCGACATGAAACTCTTTGATTCTATGACACAAGCTTAATTGGGTCGTAGAACGGAATCAGTGGATTGGGATTATCCTATTCATGAGAAATATATAGCAAAAGCTATGCTATTCAAGCATGAATTTCCAACTGATGAACATTGCATATGATATTTTGCATGCTTGTAGATTCATTTATAACGCTTGCCATCAAACATTGGAACCGTTTTATGTTCATATCAAACAGTGCCTTTGATTTGATGATTCTTGAGGACCGGTGATCCTAGTGTATCTCTTATTACCATTGCAGGATCACAAGAGTGGTCGGCAGCAAAGGAGATGACCTCAGAAGCTGATCCTCTAAACCCATAATAACCAAAATATAAAAATCTCCGTTGACATAAAAAAAGAGGAAACGCCGTTTGGTTTCTCTTTTGATGATTTTTCAACTTCTCTTAATTACGCACCTTAAGTTATAAAGTCTTTCCACTGGTTTAGTTATATTTGGATTTTGTGCATTCACCAGATGTAGCAAACACTCTAAGACCTGTGTACGTCGGCATATTTGGGCTTTGGCCATTATTCTTCATGAATCTTTCAATTATTTATTTTGTGCCTTGGATATTGGGTGGCCCTAAACCATAGAAATGCAGAAATGGTGTGTGTGCCTAGTCTCTGCATAAGTGAGGAAACTAGAAATGCTTGCGAGGGGTCAGTCATAAACGAATAAATTATAATACACTCAAAGACATGAATGGAAAACTATGGAACCACAAGCGATTTGAAGACTGGTGTGGTGGCCATGTGAAACAATACACAAGCAGACATTTTATTATTGCCAATGCATTGTCGATTAGAGAGAGAGACCCTTTCTGTATTGATACGATGCGACATTGCCCACTTCGGGCCATGTGCCCAATTCTCAGGGGTACAATCGTCACTTCTTTTGAATCCTTTGCTTTACCAATTAATTTATTTAAGCTTTTCAGGAGATCTGAGAAGCGAAGAAAGCAAGTACACCCAATCAAGAGAGAGAGAGAGAGATGGGAGTCATGGGTTTGAGCAGCATGATAATGGTGGTGGCGATAGTGTTATTAGGACAGGAGATTGGTAAAGTGTCGTCGACTCTATACAAAGTTGGGGACTTGGACGCATGGGGTATCCCAGTTGATGCTAAAGTCTACTCCAAATGGCCCAAATCTCACTCTTTCAAGATCGGTGACTCCCTCTGTAAGTCATTCTTCTACTCTCTTCTTCAAAATTTCAACTCTTTATAGTTTTGAATCTCTCAAATCTAATCACATCACTGTGTTGCTGAAACCAAACAACAGTGTTCTTGTACCCACCAAGCGAAGACTCACTGATTCAAGTGACAGCCTCCAATTTCAAGAGCTGCAACACCAAAGACCCGATCTTGTACATGAACGACGGCAACTCTCTCTTCAACCTCACCCAAAACGGAACTTTATACTTCACAAGTGCACATCCCGGCCACTGTTCCAAGTACCAGAAGCTCCTCGTCTCCGTCGGAACCTACTCCGCCGAAGCAGAGGCCTTGTCTCCGTCGTCTTCTGCCGACGCTCCCTCTTACCAAAACGCCTTCGGGTCGATTCCTCTCTCTCAGAAATCGTCGTCGTCATCGCTCATTTCGGCTTTCTCCATTGTCTTTGCTTCGCTGGCTTGCGCTGTCGTCGGTGCAATCATGTGAAATTGATTTTTTTTTTGTTTGAATTATTATTATTTTTTTTGGTCTAAAGAGAGAAAAAAATGATTGGTTCTTTTTCTTATTAATTATTATATATACACACACACCTTCTGCCTCCTTTTAAACCTTTATACAATCTCGGCAATTTAAATTTGTTGTATTTCTTCTATCCAAATCTTATATACAGACATAATCAGCTTATTATAGCATGTTATTAACATCAGTAACATTTCTCATTCGTTCAATATGTGGTTTCTGTTGCAATATGCACAATTACAAAACCAAAGCGGCGAGAAATGGAAGACCCTTTTCAAGAAGAATTTAATAAAGCAGTGAAACAAAACCAAAAAAGATAAAAGAGTATGGCAGCAAATCCCAAAAAGAGAGAGAGAGAGAAGAGGGGTTAGTAAGAAGACATACAGGCTGAGACTGCCAGAGGTGAAAAGCTCAGTGATCATGTTGATGGCTTTGTTAGTATCATCAACCCAGGAGTAGAAGAGTTTGATGATGTTATCATGATTAAGAGATTTGAGGAGATGGACTTCAGAGTAAAGTCTATCAAGTTGGCCAGGCATCTGCAATACATTGTCGATGCTCATTAGGTTCCAAGCAACTTCGATCCCTTCAAATGCCTTGTAGCTGGGAGAGCCGGAGAGGTAACAACAACCACAAGAGATGAGAAAACATTAAGATGAAAAAAAAGCAAATTAGAGTTCAATTATAAAGCACAGGACGTATAAACATACACAATTTTTGAAGGCTCCTCTCCCTAGAACGTCATCAGACTGAAGGAAGCAGAAGAAGAAAAGAAAGAATGATCACTAGTTTGTTCCCAGCGAATTTAACTCTTACATAGGAAACATGATCCTAAACTAACTAAGACTCTATAACAATCATATCAAGAGGAAGAGCGCATTATCGACAACAAACCCCTAATTTTACAGTAAATTTCATCCGTAGAGAGAGGAAGAAGGAGAAGCGTACCCCAATGTAGCGACCAGTGGGATCTTTCTGGACGAAGTCAGCCTCGTCCATGGCAGATATCTAATCTAATAGTCCGGAGGAAGAGGAAGAAGTAGAAGAAGAAGAAGAGAAGGAGGAATGGTTACAGAAGAAGGGTGAGGACGAAGATTGGATCGGAGAAGGCCTCACAGGCGAAGCAGAAGGAGTCGATTGCCGAAGACCGGAAACGAAGAGTGGCGGCGAAGGGAATCCCCATGTCCGAGACGATGAAGATGAGGTACGGCGGTGGTGCTGCGGCTGCTTGTCTCTTGTTCTTGTAAATGGATAGAAGAAGAAGAAGAGCATCACCTCCATTGATCCACCACCATTGTTTGATTAGGGGCTCCTCAAGCAGAGATAACTACAGTCTACAGATGATGAGAGGGAAGCTTCGATTTCGCCCACCACAATTCTTCAATTTGTTGGGAAACCAAAAATAAAATGAAAAAAAAAAAAACCCAAAAAATTGCGACTCTCTCCTTGTCTCCCCCCTATCTCTTACGAGGATAACGGCGAATCTCTATTTTCTGATTCTGTCAGTTATTAACAGTTATTCGCATCAAAACGACGTTGTACTTCATCTTGTAAAATGGGCCTCCTTTCTCTTTACATGGATGGACTCTCAATGTTTAAAGGCCCAATTTTCCTTTGATGAGTAAATGAATGTTTCTAAATTCTGTCTACAAATGGAACAACATCTTTACTACTACTATCAACAGAATGTGTTTTGTATCTAAAGGCAACCAAACCAACCAGGTACTATAACAACAAATCATCATGTTTGGTATGATGGTGTTGAAAAAGCTGAACTAGTGAGTAGAAGACTTGAAGCCTCGTCACTTGTGGGTTTGCCTGTACGATCAAGTGTGCCCATATTTGGCCTTTTCTTGTTTCCATCACTCCTTTCAATATCTTCAATCCCAATCCTCTCACCACTTCTCCTATCTCCAGAAACTCCCCTCTTTCCTCGCATACCATCTCTATCTGCATTTCCCCTTGCCTGTTCAGTTCCTCCACTATTATCGGACATACCACTGCTTCCTCATCATCATCTCCCACTTCCAACGCCCATGTTCTCTCCTTCACCAGCTGATACATACCATATATATCATTCTGATCAGTAAACAATTTAAGACTTGTTCACTAGCTTTATTCATGAATGACTCATCCATTTGATTTCTCCTTACCTTGGACTCGTATGGCTGCTTGAGTCTGTCTGCGTACTTGGCGAGACTTTGCATGAACTCCATGTGCTTTATGGTCAGATCAAGCAACGTATCTATGCTACACTGTTTCATATGTGTATTAGAAAATGCATTTGCTGCATGCTAGTCTCCAAACTATATTATCATTATTATTATTATTTTGATTTTACCTTTGCTCCATTTGGAATCATCCCTCGCAGCTCCTTGATACGGTCTTGTATCATCTGACGGTCCTTAGGCCTCGGCCTCCTGCTTTCTCCTGCCTTTGCTCTTTTCTTCTTCACACCTTCTTCGTGAGGCTTTTTCCAATTCCCTCCGACGCTTGTTCTCTCATCATCAATCCACAAACTCCGGCCTGTTACTACAGTCTCCTCCTGCGGGAACAAGCTTGAGCTGTGCGCTGACGATGTTTCAAGCTTCCGTCTTTTGCTCTGATTCACACCAGAATACTCTTGCACGTTTGTGAGAGAACTGGTACAAGTGTTGTTGCTAAGACTGCTGCTTATGAGCTCAGAGAAGAGCCCTTTAGGCGGCACAGCCAAAGGCCTAGAAAAATCTTGAGAATTCATGCCAACAATGTCGAAAAGATCCTTGTCATTGCCTTGGATCACCATGGGATTCTCGTGGTGATCAACGGAAGAGCAATTCTGTTCAGGTGAGTCAGCGAGCAGCTCGTAAAGATCGTCCAGAGTGTAAGACTTGAGAATGTCGAAACCAAAATCATCCCCACTGCTAAGATCTTGGTGGGAAGAAGCTGCTTCAGAGGTTTTACCAGAGATCATCTCATTCTCAGGGCTGAGCAAAGAAGGAGGGTCGTCGTCGGCGAAGATGTCATCAAAGCTGAGTCCTTGAAAAGATTCAGCTGGGACAAGCTCACAATCTCCCAGTGGCACTAAAGACTCGAACAGAGTATCGAGGTCCACCGAGTGATCTGGCTTCTCTTGCATAGCTCTGGTTGTTTGTTCCAACATCTCTAGGCTCTCAAGAATCTACGTACATAATTCAAAGATCCACTACTAATTAGTCCATGACTTCCACAGCAAGAAATTATAATAATATCAACAAATAAAGAAACATTTTCTAAGCAAACCTTTTGAACAGATCCGAACTGAACAACGCCTCTAGATCCTACTGGAATGACTGCGATAGTCTGTACGAAAAAATGGACATAAGAATCTGATTCGAATTTTTTTAAGAAACTGGGGACAAGACAATGTAATCACCTTAAAGCCAGAGAGAAACTGATTCTGAAACTCATGCTCACACTGCAAAACAATCAAATTAAGACACAAATGATCAAAGCCTTATTCTTCTTTCTTATTAATGAGATATTTGGACATACATACAGGCTACAGCTTAGCTCACATGAAAGCATATGAGAAAAATCAAACATGCAAAGGAAAGGAAAAGAAGGGAAGAAGGAGAGCATACCTGAAACAATGTGTCTGAAAAGAGCCATTGATGGTTTCCGGTTAAAGCGACTTCTCCCACAATTCTGAAGTCATCAAAAGAAAAAGAAAAGGTATAATGAAGATACATACATACACAATAGAGAGATGGATAAATAGTATTTGATTCAAGTGTTGAAAAAAGCTTACCCTTGGCCTAAGATGTGAGGCTGAAGAATCAAATCATCAAGGAGGGAGACTGATTGTACATCATCATTGTATGCTTCTTCAAATCTCAATAACCTGAAATGCAATGCAATGCAATCCAAATGAACAAACAGCGTAAGCATAAAAGAAAGAGGCAGAACAGAAATGGAGGAATCACATGGAATTGATGGGATCATAGCGCCAGAAAACAGCAAAAGACCATCCATGGCTGAAACAGAGACTCTTCAATATCTGCTTAGTCTCCCAACCCATAATTTAATCTAGTTGAGAATCTCAAGTAAACTCGAGAAGACCCTGACCTCGAACTCTTAAATAAGACAACAACTACTTTAAATTTGTCTTCTCCAGAAAAACAAACTCCAAAGATAAAGAAAAGCTGGGAAACAGAGGAATAATGTTTGGTTCAGAGTTTTCTTCTTGTTTATTTATTTATTTAATAATATCTGCACAGAACAGAGAAAGAAAAATAAAATTAAAAAACAAAGAGACACAGAGGAGAGAATTGCTGCTTGTGTTTTGCTTTTTGTTCAAGCAATTAAAAAGAAGAAGAGTCTTTGTCTCTCTTTCTCTCTATAGTCTCTATATATATATACACATGCAAAAACATAAAACTATTGGACCCTTTTTAGATCAACAAAATGTTTCTTATAAAATATTGTGTGATTTTACATTTTGATGTGCAATAATATTTGGTAGAAATTGTTTTATCAGCCGGTTTCCAGTCACGCTTTTGCCCCGGAAGTGACGTGGATTACACCGGCGATTACCGGTTTAATAGAACTTTTTTTTGTTTTTAATTAATTGCTATATATCCTTTTCATTTATTTTGTTTGTTGTCTTTATGAATTTTTCTATATTAAATACTGTATCTTTTTGAGGTATAATATAATTTTCCGAATAAAAAGGGAGATTTCCTTTTGATTCTACTTTATTACACTATGGATTTCATTTTAATTACTACTCGATACGAATCATATACACCTTTTAATTTCGACGATTTATTTTTAGAATGATTAACAAACAAATGAAACTATAATATTTGTTTTTAAAAAAAGAAAAGTAATTGTAAAACAAAATAAAAAAATGAGGAGAGTAAGAATGCGAAGATCTTCGAATTCATTCTTGGTATGATAATCTTGACTTAACCAGTACTTGTATGGCTATTAATCATCCAAACCTTATAACTACTCTATCAGAAAGAAATTCACAAAAATTCATATATATATGTGGTACCAACATAAATACGGTTAATTAACTCTTAAGTACTAGTATTATTTCCTCAATATATAGCACCATATCGTCAGGAAGACACAAACTAAAACATTTTTAAGTTTATATATAGAAAGATTAAACTTCGAACTTTTTGAAATATATTGCTACATGTGGCAAGACAATATAAATAGAATCTAAAGAAGATCAAAAGACATATATAGCAAACGTTGGAAACACATGCCTCAAATATTTTGACATCCATTTTTGGTACTCGCAACATTCCACACATGCCTAAATGCCACTCATGCATGCATACAAAATTCTCCTCATCTTTTTTACTAACCAAAAGTTTCTCGACCTAAGCTGCTAAGTACGTACAACACTTAAGTTTTTACACATTTTAGCTTGTATATATACATATATTGATCATAGTGGTCGAAACATATTAACATATATGATATATCCACATATCTCAAAAATGGAAAGTGATTATAATTCGAAATTAAAAGAAGAAAAATGAAAGTCATCAAATGTTAGATTTTGGGGTTATTAGGGATAATATGTAGCAATAATTTGGTCGCACATACTCATCACACGCTCAATCATGGCCGTTGTTGAGAACAAAAGTCAACGGCATCAAGATTTTTCACTTAATTTTTTGTTCGTCTTTACTTGATTTATTTATTTTCCTTTTTCAAAACTTTCCGTTTTTATTCCAACGGTGTCCCAAAGTGGTGAACTAAATCCAAAAGTGGGATTTTTTTTGTTCTTTTGTTACATAAACTAATTCAAAAAATATATATACTTTTCTTCAACATATGTATAGAAACTAGAGAATATAGTTTATTTCTGTACGTAAAGAAAGAAAAAAAAAAAAGACTAACGATTTGGTTCAAAGAAAGAAACATGCAATATATGCAAAATGTTGCTTATATGAGAAAAGCTTGTGGTTACTAGTCTCTATCTCTGTTATTATTCTAGATTGTGTGTGTTTTTTTAATGTCCCATGCATGGCAGTTCACATCATTATGTAACATCCGTTACTTCGTAATCTATCTTAATTCTAAGACTTTAGGCGTTTTGAAAATAAAATATATGTTTTAGTTATGTTATCTGTATATAATGATTAACCATGATCTTCCTCTTTTTTTTCTTAGGTCTTTTTGTGTTCCATTGGAAACCAAGATGGTGAATCACATTTTATTGATGGAACATCAATTTCAATTATTGTGTCATTTTTTTCAAACTGAGAAAAGAAAACATACTATTGTCTTCAAAGTAGGACAACCTTTTTGAGTTTAAAGCAAAGCACCATTACATTAGTATATGCATATCTCTTTATTTATTCCCAACATTCTCTCCAAGAGTTTCTTAATAACTTTTAATTCTGTGTAGATACATAATACACATATAGGTATACGTCTTTCTTTGATATATGAGTCGATCTCAAATGACTTTAGTTATGATGTATACAATATGAAATTAATGCTCAAAGACGCAATCGCTATAGATAGCATGTCACCCATACAGTAATTCAAACATCTAAATGTGCGGAAACGAAAATGACAAAATAAGATATATATTAGTTAGGGAGGGATGCAACGAAATATGCAAAACAAAAAAAAAACAAAAAAGAAAAGGGAAAGGGGAAGGAAGCTATAGGCACGCTTTGTCCCAAAGAAAGGACCAATTTCGATTTTTGTTATGAAACTCTTATGGTAACACCATCATGCTATTTCCCACTACCATCAACTATATCATCATTCCCTTTTCACACACACACACACATATAACTTTGTATATGTATGTAATGTCCTTAATTACGTTACGTATATATATATAACTCCAGTTAGACCCGATCCTAAATTTTAGAAGGCCACAAGCGGGAGAAAAAAAAAATTGAGACTGATATTGATATATTTTTTCATAATTTTTTCTTCACACTTACCATTTCTCTTAATAAATTTAACATGTGTATACTCAAGACTCGTGGATCGTTGTCATTAGCAAATGTATTACTGTATTATACATGTCATAGACTGATCACTCGATGGCGTTGAGACACATATCCATCCACATCTAACAAGTATCATATTGTCAACTTTTAGGTATCGTAGACATGAAAGGAAAGAAGGAATTTAACAGGCATGTAATTAAAATAATTACTTTTACTTCATATATTAGTTTTACACTGATATGTATCTGACTAAATATATAGCTGACGATGAAAGAATGGTTAATAATTAGGCAAAGGTAAGGAAAAGATAGTTGTTTATGAATGCAAATTAGGATGATGTTAGTTTTTTAAAGAATTATATGCATGGGATTCTCTTGAGGATGTATCATTGTGCTTTATCAACGATTACTCTCAATATAAAGACCACAGAAGCATGTATATATATACTAATACACATATCTCTTTGACACGCAATAATTTCTTCGTAATGATTTTGACTCACCAAGAAAGTCAATTTCTCATACAAATTGATGATCACATGTAGTTAATATTGGCATATTACTTTCACTGCTTTTGTTTTGTCTTATGGTAGAAACTAGAAACCCCTTACACTCTATCTAATTACCCCTATATAATAAACAAATTATTGCATTATAAAATGTTTTATATAAAAGAGCGAGCAATTAAAATCTATATAATAAAAAACAACACAACTAGTAATAATAGATGATATGCATAGTAGTATATTAAATAAAATCATTTACAATTGTAGTAAGTCCATTTTATAATATGGAACGGAGAGAGAGAGAGTATATGGTTGATTAAACTAGCTAGTATAAGAATTTGTCCCAAAAAAAAAAACTAGTATAAGAAATCGGTGGAAGAATAAAATTAAGACCACACTACAGTAATATATATGCTATTTATACGATTTCTTATTAGTTTATAGGAAAGTATTGAAGATTTTTTTAATAAAATAACCTGGATGGTATATAGCTAATGAGACGTATATAGTTTAACATGAAATGCTACTTACTATATTGGAGAGAAATTAACGATCCCTGCCTTTGAAGCTGTAGTAACGATTCATATATTTGTTTAACAAAAAAAAAAAAAGTAACGATTCATATATTTGTCGACAGCAGGATTAGCAAATACTAGTAAATAAATAATCTTAGTAATAACTGTATAATAATGTGAAGACAGTGTAAAAAATAAAGTAAAGGAAAGCAATCTAATCATCTATATTCGCAAACTCCAAGGTGCAGCCAAGGAAAAGGTGGGAAGGTTGGGAATACGACAGAAGAACACGTCATATTGTTACGGTGCACTGGCACACATAGGATCATATTTTACTGGTTTTTGGACAAAACACTGTTCTGTCAGGGAATGTCTCTTCTTCTCTTCCAAGGCTTTCAAACAATTTATTTATTTATTTTAAATGAGTAGATCAATTAGTTTTGTCCTTTTTTTTTGCCTCCACAACTTATCATTTGGGAGCGCCCCTAGAATGTGCTGTTTGTTCTAAATTCAAAATTCGTAGAATGTGTGTGAGTCAATTTGTTTAAACGAGAATCATATCCAATATGGTGGTATATGCTTTTGATATTAAAAAAGAAAAACATACTTGCATAGTTACAGAACATATAAGCATAGAGCTCCAAATAAACAAATAAATATTGTATACTAATACTTCTGGCTTCTTCTTCTCAGTCATGTAATAAAATCAAATAATGGTGTGGAAGAAGAAGAAGAAGAAGAAGAAATATAGCGTTTTTGTGTGCCCATGAAAAGCGCGGGACCTGTTGTGTGAGTGGTGTTCACGAGGGACGAGGAGGGAAAGATTCTTGATGAGTCAGGTGACACGTGGAGGGAGATGATTGGGTAGGCAGCTGAGATGATGACATGTTGATTTTGAGAGAGCTTTAAAGCCTTTAGGTGTCTGTCGGGCTACAGGTAGGCAAGCACAGTCCCCACCCCATCCCCAATAATATGTCTTGTCATCCTATTTCACCTTTCTCTCTTCTTCTTCTTCTTCTTTTTTGCATTTTTTTTTTGGCTTTCTTTACAAAATTTTGAAGTAACAACAACACTCACTCACGGCGGGCGGGGAATCTCAAAGTTAGCTTGTAGGCTTAATAACCCTGGAGGACGATGATGGGCTTTAGTAAACCCAATACAAGATTATGGCCCAGTCCACCATACCCAATCGGAATGGTGAGAGAAATGAGAATCTTTTATACAAATACTGTACTACAATTCAAGTGTTGTAGGCTTGTAGCTACAAATACTTGAATACTTGATAGCGTCGTGTGACCTATCAGCATCCGATTCTGTTTCTCTCTAACACGTTGTTGGCTGTATTTAAAATAGTGGTTTCAAAATCCCCCCACATTCACATCCTTGGATACACAATAGAAAAGCGACTCAACGCAGAACAATGGAAACCAATGTGTCAACAGTCAATCTGCTCATATTGAGAATAAAATGGTATATCACTCACTAAACACATGTGAGTTAAAAAGGAAGACACTTTGGATTGTTCCTTACTGTGTTATGTAAAAGCCAAATTAAAAAAGAAAGAAAAAGAAAGAAGGATGATATGAAGTGTGGTCACTAGCTGATGAGTATGCCATTGTTTGATGTGACTCTATTTTCCTTTAGGTGAAATAAAAAGAGCAGCCAGTCCAATCGGTTTCTTCTTTTTAGCGTCAGCAGAGAATAAAATATATCCTAGTCATCTATTATTAACGTTTTTTTTTCTTTTCTTCCAAATTAATATAGCAAAACAAAGAACGTACCAAAACTGATGACTTCCAATAGCAGCATTTTAGTCCCCTTTCTTTCGTAACTACTAGTGTTGTTGTTAATCACAAAAAAAAAACAGTCTTCGGGTTCGGCTTTATATATAGCTTTGTCGAACCAAGTTTTTTACTTATTGTCATAATAATAATGTTTTGTGATTATTATGTATGAATACAAATGTGAAAAGCAAAGGAAGGAATCAAATAACAAATGTTGTTTGTTGGAGTGTCAATTGCAGCAGCAACTCTACTACTGCAACCCTACGAGCTTAGGTTTGCCATTTTGCCTTCAAAGACGACGACTATTTGAAACTGCGACTACAAAACGGCCTTTTAAATTTTGTTTCTCCATACTATATGATGCTCTACTAAAGAGTAAACATTTTCTCTTGTACAGAACCAACCACATCAACTACTCTTTTTACACCACCTTCATTCAAAATTTCAAATCAACCCCCCCCCCCCCCAACTCCTATTTCATATATATCAATCGAAATAATGGTTTGTAAGCTGAATTCTTAACTAAACCCAACTCACATCTACCACTTTACCATCATAATAATACGCTTTAACACCCAACCAACATGTGTTTTTGATCTTCTTCTGTGCTAGAGGGAGTGTGTGTAGTGGGACGAATGATGATGATGATGATGATGATGATGATAGTACGAAGTTTAAGGGGAATGTTGGGGGAGGGTCCATATTTCTATGAGTGAATTTTTTATTTTATACTGAATGTCTCTTTGAATTTTAAATTGCTAAGGTTTTAATTTGTGGTCTCTTACAGTTCGGCTAAGTGTGTGTGTTTCCTAAATGACAAACAAAGAACCAAAACGATTTGGTTACAAGTGTCCTTTTTCTTCGTATTCTTCACAAAAAGGGTTTAAGTACAACTTTATTATATATATGCATAATATAATATGGGGTTTTACACTAGACATGGTGATTACTAGCGGAATGGTACTACTACTAGTAAAGTTAATGGGGGGGGGGGGTTTTGTTTCGGTTGGCTACAGTACACACTACCAAATTGAGATGACCATTTCTCGGAATTTGGTAGCTATGGAGAGTATTGTTGTACTGTACACCAGTACTGGTCTTCTTCACACTAGTATTAAAGTCTTTTGGTTTGTGACACTCTTATATAATAGACAACAAATCTTGAGATGTCATAAATTTAGGTAACGAACAGCTGAGATTGATTCAAAAGAGTTCAAAATACGTACACTATCCATCCCCAACCCAACCAAGTTAATTCATATTTAATACTAGTTTTTAGAAAAAAGGAGAAACCAAAATAGTAAACACCCAGATTGAAGTTTAACCCTCTCCCATCTTTTAAAATTTGGATGAAAAATTTATAATCTCTTGTCTTCAAAAAAGTATCTTGGGTACTCACTCCTTGGACTATAATTATTGCCACGAGGATCCACCACCACCAGATGCAGCAGAAGTAGTACCAGCACTTAACATGCCATATTCCAAAACCCAACAGACTGGTCAGCTTCTCCTTCTTCTTTCTCCTCCTGTCCACGATCACTATGATCATCATCCTCTTTCACATTGCCACCACTGTTGGTGCTTGGTGATGATACTGGAAGCTTCAGGCTCTCAAATGGCAGTAAAGGCCTTCCACTATTAGTAGTAGCAGTAGTGGTGCCACTGGACCCCTCTTCTTGATGCAGAGGATCCCCACCATCAAGAAAGAACCCCAAAGCTGGTCTCATGAACTCTTGAAACTGTGGGTAACTGAGACCAAACCCAGATGCTGTGTAGACGGATGAATCGTGAACATTTGGGAAAGACATGAAAGCAGGGCGAGAGTTAGAGGAAGCGGAGATCCCTAAAAGCTCCAAAGCCGAGGAGGTTGAGACAAGTGGGTTGTTGTTGTTCTTCATGCTGCTGCTGCTGGGTGTTACTTGCAGAAACTCAGGAATAGTGTGATGTTGATGATAAGCAATCCCAAACCCTTGAGAAAACGCCAAGTTGAGATCTTTAACCTCGTGGGCATTCCCAAACCCCGGAGAAAAGGTCAAGTCTTGAACTTTAGCAGCGGCTTCACCAGTCTTAGGGTTCGGCGCAGGTGAGTTGGTGTTGATGGCAAGAGGAGGTTTCTTGGGTGAAGAGGAGGAGGAGGAGGAGGAGGGGGAAGAGGAAGATCTCTTGGTCTTCCTGATGCCGCCACCGACGGGGATGTTCCTGAGAGAACCACCTTGGGTCCAATACCTGCGGCAGTCCTTACAGAAGTACCTGGGCTGAGTGAGGCTGTAGTTGTTGTAGTAGCAGAACTTGGTGTTGAGAGAGTTGCATCTAGGACAGTTGAAAGATTGGTCTTTCTCGGGTCGTGCCTTCCTCTCAGCGGGAGTAGCAGGAGGAGGAGGAGGAGGAGGGTGTTTCAGGCATGAGTTTGTGACGATCTCGTTCATTGGCTTCACAACAAACTCCTGTATATTTATGTTTAGAAATTGCAAGAAACAAAGAAAACAATACACGATTATTCTCGTTTTCACTTTTTTGATCAGCTTCCAATTTTTATTTAATAAAAATAAAAAAAAGATGGGGACTGGTCAAAACAAGAATGATAAAAGGAAGAACGTGAAAAAGATACCTGAGGCCATTGAGCAGTGTCCATGGCAATGGAAAAATTCAAGCTGATAAAAAAAAAAAAACTGTGAAGAAGAAAGGAGAGAAAGGGAAAGCTAAGCTGAGGGGAGAGAGAGAGAGGAGAAGTGTGTGTGGGAAAGGTAAAGCTGGTTTTCGAAAAAGCAAAGAAGAAGACGAAAAAAGAGAATTTTTAAACAGGATTTTAATTTTTTTAAATAGAAAAAAGATGGTCACTTGTAAAAAGAGAAGAATATAAAAATTGGGAAATTGGATAGATACACGTAAATAGTGTGTGTGGGGGGGCTTTTGATGGATTCTTCGTATGAGAGAGGTTTGGTGGTTTTGGTCTGAGTCTCTGACACACAACACACAGAGAGACAAGTCTGAAGTCTGAAAGTATTATTATTTATTATGCTATCCTCCTCCCCCGCCGTCCCACGAATCTCTTTTAGTACTGTATTATTAGTAAATTTTAATTATCTCTCTCATCCTTTTTTTTTTTTTATCCGTTATTTACTCACATATACAGTATATATAAATTAGCAAAAAAATACTATTCATAAATTATGACATAACCACGACACGTAGTGTATAAATTATGAGCTTTGTTTTTGATAAAGTAGTGTATAAATTAACTAGCGGTTTGCTGCGTCTGTGAAAGGCTGAGTTGACGACCGGCGGCAAACTGCATCCGTCCGTCAGACTTTTTGGGGCATCACAGCGCTGAGACTACTGACGAACCCATCGCCATATATATATACACAGCGTGCCAGTTAATCTTAATTATGACATAACCACGACACGTGTCTCTTTCTTGAGCATTAGGACTCCACCACCACAGGGAAGACTGAAGAGAGAGAGAGAGCATTTGCACTGCTGCTGCACCCCCATAATTAACAATTATATATATATATATATATATATATATATATCAAAGTAATTTACGACGTACACTCTGTGTAAATCTAGATATAGCCCCACCCCCAGTTTAATTAATTTGGCTTTATTTTCTGGCCGTAGAAGAAGAAAGAAAGATGTATCCATCCATCCTCTCTTCTCAGCCTTCCGATCGAGCCGACCATCTTCTTCTTTTGCCATCCACCTCAGCATCTACGTACCCTTTTGCCATCCACCTCAGCACTAATTATTCTTCTTTCCTTTTCTTTTTTATTTATTATTATTATTACATTGTTAGACTAACTATACACATTCTTCATTTTCCCTTTTAACTTCAACAAGTTCTTCACAATTGCTGTTGTTTGTCTGAGTTAGTTTATAGGTTGTAAGATCATCATCAATACATGTTGGATACCATTTATATAGAAGAACGTACATCTTTGTATAATGTATATATTGACTCTTATTTCCTCCATGTGCCACTTCAATAGCGACATCTATTGCCAATATGGTAAACGCTTATGTTTTATACCCGACCTTTTTTTTTCTAATTTCATTTTCTTAATATTAAAGCATGCACATGATGTCAAATATTCCATTATTAATTATTATTTGTTTAAGAAGAGTACCTAGTATGGTATCATATGCTTTTTATAAAAGATATTGAATTGATCCAAGTTTAACCTAATATGCATATGGCACATCTCACATGTCAAATGCATGGCTTGTGTGATGACCGATACTACAATTGTCTGCCTTGTCGTCATATCATATCATATGGCATGCTAGCTTTGATATATCTAATATTTGCGTACGCCACTATTTTTTATTGTCCTGGTTTGTTAAGTATCTTATCGAAGACCGATCCATATCCGTCTTGTAGGTATGTTCAATCACAAGTAGGCCATTTCATCTGTTAGTTTCTTCTTTTACGTACGTATCAACAACTACCAATACCTATCTAAAGTACTACTTTTCCTATCTTAAAAACTTCTGTGTTAACAATAATATATAAAAGTATATCTTACATACAACATTGTCATTATAGAATTCAGGTCGATCATAATATTGCATTTTGTAACCGAAAATACGAGATAGATGGATAATATACAGAATTACTATATTTATGTTATGTATTTAAGCCAGATGCATGGTGTATGCGAATGATGTGGACGTATATATATAGCAACTAAACTAAGCAAAGCTATTGTAAATGGGACAATACACTAGCGTTGGTATCTATAGCTAGAATCCATTATTATTTTAGAAATCTAGATTTTTGGGACAAAGACAACCAACCAATGTGGCTCTTAGTTTTGTCTAATATGGTGATCGTCCACTTATAAATGGTTACCCAAATAAAAGAAACCATTGTGGAATTTCTATATAAGTTTGCATGTATTAAATATTTGATTAGAAAACATTGACTTATAGAATACACAAATCTAATGATACTTAGAGAGATATAACTGTTAGCATAAATAAATAATGACTAGCTCAAATCAATTTTTTTTTTTTCACCCTGCTTATATAGCTTGTCAGTGAAAGCACTATAAAGCCATTTGATATTTTGAAAGGTGCTCGCTTACTGTAAGGTCATTTTTTGTGAATATCAATATCAAGTTTGGACTTTGGAGTAGGTATTTGTGTATATAACCTGCGGTAATCCCATAGTTATAAATTTGATGACTAATTAACAACAAAAAAAGAAAAAGAAAGGAAGAGCTTGTGTCATGTTCTTGAATCGGATCTAAATATGGATTAGAGAAAGAACCATATGTGTACTCGAGCAATTTACCTTTTTGTTGTTGTTGTTGTTGTTGTTGTGTGCAACTTGCTTGAGCAAACTACTATATATAGCACAACGTACAAAGCATATTATTATCTTTAGGAAAAAAGAGAAATATTTCATTATGTAATTATTTGTAGTTGAATCAGATATATAATGAGCAGTGAGTGACTTAGAGTATTTAAAAACAATCCCCCGAGAATAAAGGGCGAGAGGAGAGCCATCGTAGGATTTTTTGGACCACATCCGCCAACTGGACAATTGGTTAGTTATCTATCCCCCTTACTTATATGATTATACAGTTGATTGGTTGGTCCTACGTATAAAACACATTCCCCTAGTTACTACTGTAGAAGTGTAGAGTCTTGTGGTTTAGGGTTTGACTCCAAACCTTCCTTAGCACACCATATATAATAAAATGTTTTTGGTTCACTATTTTGGATCGGTTATGTATGCGTGCATTGCATCCAGCATAGCAACATTCAGCGTCCGGGATTTGGTATTGAATTGAATAAAACAAACACCATTTTCGGTATCAAACATTTCATAGATTGCAAATTTGACCAATTAAAATCTTAAATGAAAACGTTACAAAATTATTGTTTAGACGTATAGAATGGGGCGTCACAGCCGGTTCTTAGATAGAAGGTAGGAAAGTATGATCGAGTCTATAAAAGAAATCAAGTGACCAGACTTGTCGTTTACATTTACTTTTAGCATACGTACGTGTAAGTTGTGTCATCATAGCACGTGTTCTTGTTCTTGCCTTATATTGGGTTAGAAAACATAACCATTTTGCATCAAATTAATACAGTACAGTTCGAAATTATAATGTTTAATTTCAGATGGTAATATGAATATCGTTATCATCATGTTCTCCCCTTTCCCAATAAATATCGTTAGACACGTTCTTTTTGGTTAGGGTTCTTCAGCTTAGAGAGTTTCTTCTACATTAGAGCCCATTTAAGAGTTTTCATGATGATTAAGAAAGCCCAACAATCACACCCACGAGGCCGCGACCACAAGGATTGAACTCACGACTCTTTCTTCTACGACTCCGCAGTCCGCACCATATTCATATTTTGTTTTTATTCCTTCTAATTTAACAAATTTTGTTTTTATTATTCACTTGCACATTTTTATTTCCATCTACGATTAATCAAATAATATTATACGATGATAGTATATATATATTGGTTTCTAACCAATTAATTTCAACAATACTTTGGCCGTGGAGGCTTCAAATTAATAAATAATTTTATTAGTTGGGTGAGCTGGGGTTGGGAATATTTATTTGTTCATGGATGGATGAACTATTATTATACATATACTATTGTCAACAAAATACAATTAGAAAAACACGTTACCTTACGTTACGTGTGCCTAAATATTTTTTAGTACACAAGAAAGTTATGTATATATATATATATAATGACTTGAATAAAGAAGAAGATTTAAAATAGTTTTATTAGTTGGGTTCTTTAAAAAAGGTTTTGTTACAGTTTAAAGTAAAATGATGAATCAGAGCGTAATATTTGTATCAGTGTGACGGTAATAAAACTAATTCTTACTCACTAAAAGAAGTTTAAGAAAAAATATGAAAGTATAAGTTGATCGATAATGTAATTTTTTTTTTAATTTTTAAAAGGCGTTTGAAGTCAGAGAGTGGAAGTGAATGACAATTAAAAATAAAAAAATGAAAAGATAGAAAAATAATTTCCATATGAAACGTTTAATTCGTAAACATCGAAGAAGAAGAAGAAGATGAAGATGAAGATGAAGGATATATGTTTATATATAAGTAAACCTCTTTCCATTTCCACTAATAAAAACCCCAAAAATTTGGAAGATTGTTACCTTTTCTTTGTGAGTTAACTGTTATTAACTCAAAAAAAAAAAAAAAAAGATCACCACAGCTCTCTCTCTCTCAAGTCTCAAGTCTCAAGTCTCAACGAAAGAGCGCGACTCGAAGATCGAACCGACACATATTTTCATTCATACCCCTTTCCTTTCCTTCCCTTCGTTGGGTTTTTAATATCCCTCCTTTCTTCTTCGATTCTGACTAAAATTTTGCTGGTTTTGATTATTTAAGAAAGATCACAGTGACTCGATTCTACAAATTTGGGTGGGGCTTCTTTGGTAATACAGGTAAAATCATAATCCTCTTTTGACCATTTCTTCCTTCCTTCTTCCTTCTATTTGTTTGTTTCTTTTGCATTACTTTCAAGCCATCTCTTCCCTTGAACCACTTTTTTTTTTGTTTTGTTTTAAGTTAGGTTACGAGTTCTTCTACAATTCAACTATGTATGTATTCCTTTTCCCTTTCTTTTATGGCCAAAATTTTACATTTTTTTAATTTGATTTGATTTTTGGTCTTTCGTTGACTCTGCATTCCCCTGTTTAACCTTTTTTCCCCTTAAGAGGAATTTTCAAAATTGTCATTCTTTTTCCAACTAATCCACGAGTCTCTCTCTCTCCACAGCCTCTGTGATTTTTTTTTTTTTTTTTTTTTTTGTCGACAGCCTCTGTGATTCTAATGTATGATTTTGAATAGTACGAAAGCATGATTCTTTCTTTCTTTGGCAGCCAAAGTTGAAGTCTTTCTTTCTTACCCGTTTCCTCTCTCTCTTTTTCCTTGGAACAGAGGGTGCGAGTCATGGGTACTCCTGCTACTCTTGGTGACGAAGACGACGATGACCGCTTCTTTGATGCCCACCAACACGACTTTTCTTTACATCTTTGGACCACTTCTCCTGACTGTGTTTCCAACCGCCGCCGCAACTTCCTCCAATCTATGGGCTTTAGTTTCAAAAAGTCTGCTTCAGACGATTCTCTACATGAACTTCTACCATCTCCCCACGCTGTGTCTCAAGTTGCTACCGTCTCTTCTATTGAAGCTGTGAAAGAAGTTGATCTCTTGCTGAGGAATGAATCTACTTCCTCCTCTGTCTTTGATATTTCCTCTGTTTCATCGTCATCTGAGGATGCAGATGATCAAACCTTGTTGTCCAGGAATGATTCCTCCACTAGTACTAGTACTATTATGCCTCTGGGCTTGAGTGAATCCGGCTCTAGTAAATCCGGTAGCTTTGGCGATTTCCATGACTCTCCATCGAGCCGAAGAGATGATTTGCTCAGTAAAGGGGCTAAATCTTGGTTAAGGAAGCTAGGTGCTTTGACACATGTCCTTGAGTCTATGGACTGTGAATCTGTGAGATCACCATTGCATCATGTTGCGCGAGTGCAGACACACAAGAAGCAGTTCAAGGAGCTCTCATCTCTATGTGTTGATCAAGACTTTTCAGCGCATGATGGCTCCATCTTAGCCATGAAGTTTTCTCCTGATGGGAAATACATTGCAAGCGCTGGTGAAGACTGTGTTGTCCGAGTTTGGGCCATCACTGAGCGAGAGAGAACACAAAAGTATGAAGTAGCTGAGGTTGATTCTGGTGTCTACTATGGGATGAACCAACATTCTCAGATTGAGCCCTTGAAGATTAATTGTGACAAAACTGAAAAGAAGACCTCAAGTTTTTTGAGGAAGTCACCAGACTCAACTTACGTTGTGTTACCTCCTACTATCTTCAGTATATCGGAGACGCCTCTGCATGAGTTCAGAGGTCATAGAGGTGAGATCTTAGATCTTTCCTGGTCTGAGAAAGGGGTAAATATCTTTTCAAACTCTTCCTTAACATTTACACAGTCTTTGGTTGAAAACATCTCTGCTTACAGTTACCCCTCTTTGCTGCAGTATCTCCTCTCATCTTCTGTGGATGAGACTGTTCGTTTATGGAGAGTAGGTTCTGATAAATGTCTCAGCACGTTTACTCATAACAACTTCGGTGAGCTTCTCCTGTACTGGTGCCTTTTACTACTTTCATTCTTTTCTTTTTCTTTTTTTCCATTTGCTGTGTATTCACTTTTCATCTTCTTACACAGTGACTTGTGTGGCATTCAACCCTGTGGACGACAATTACTTTATAAGCGGATCTATTGATGGGAAAGTTCGAATATGGGATGTGTCTCGTTGTAGGGTTGTTGACTACACAGATGTAAGAGACATTGTTACAGCTGTGTGCTACCGTCCAGATGCAAAGGTATTTTGAAAGACTTGAATCTTAAGATTAAACTTATTTTCATATGAGCAGTTGCTTACATTATAGTGTTTTTCAGGGTGCAGTAATAGGTTCCATGACAGGGAACTGTCGCTTTTACCTTATATTCGGTATGTTTTCATCTTACAGATCACTTACTTACTTCTTAATGAGAGTGAGTGTATCATTTATTTGTTCATGTTGTGTATTTCAGATAATCAGCTGCAAATGGACAAAGAGATCAACGTGCATGGTAAGAAGAAGGTTGCAAGCAAAAGGATAACTGGTCTTCAGTTTCTTCCCAGTGACCCGGAAAAAGTAATGGTTACTTCTGCTGATTCACAGATTCGCATTTTATGCGGAGAGGATGTAATCTGCAAGCTTAAAGGTCAGGAACTGTTATAACTGTAGATGAATGATTGCATTTGGTTAGATATAAGATTTATGATCGAAACTTTCTTTTGTGCTTGCAGCTTCTAGTCTTCGCACAACATCTGCTTCATTTATTCCTGATGGGAAACATATTGTCTCAACATCAGAGGATTCTTGCATTCATGTGTGGAACTACTCTCAGTTACCGAGTAAGAAACCTTCTTCAGGAATAAAAAGCACTCGGTCTTACGAGGGCTTTCTCTCACACAATGCGTCTGTAGCTATACCTTGGCTCCGACAAGGACACAGGGATGATCTGTCTGAATGTATCATAGATCTGGACAGGAAGATACCGAAAGTGGACTGTTTCTCTCCGATGAAAGGATCAACAACGTGGCCTGAAGAGAAGCTGGAAGATGCTGCAATGAGCAACAGAGAGAAACTGAAGCTTCTGAGGAGCGCATGGCAGCCTCACCTGTGGGGGCTTGTGTTTGTGACAGCGACATGGGATGGAAGGATCAGAGTATTTAACAACTATGGTTTGCCAGTTCGGGTCTAAAAGACATACAAAAGTTATTAGATAGGATTCTTTTATTTGTTACTTAGGAGTAAAATATGTATACATATTACACAAATGTCTCAAAAATCTTTTGTCCACTATTTTTGGTAATAATATTTATGGAGTGATTTTATGCAATCGTGCCCTAAGCCTGAAAGTGTTATTACTGTTTTTTTTCTGCCCAAAATCAGTGCCTACAAGTTTCTCTGTATCTCTCTATGGAAATATTATTTTACCACTTGCTAATTCTAAGGCCAGGCACCCCATTTCTGGTCTTGATCTGGTCGACACCACTCAGTATCTATTTGCTTCTCTTTGCCACTTTCTTGTTGAGTCGTGAGAGGCCATAAGTCTCCCCAAAAGGATTTCTTGGCCTGCAAATGAAGATCCGGGTTCTTGCTTTTTGTTATCACTCTTCTTTCAAATGCTCCCTCTGAACCATCCTCTTTGGTTGGCACACACATATCTAAGGTCACTTGTTTCCCTTTGCGGAATGGAGGGAATATGATTCTTCCCCATCCGCCTCCCACACTCGCTCTCTCACCCTCACCCTCCTCTTCCTCTTGATCTTCCTCTTCAATATTGTCTTCCATATCCTCATCAGTACCTTCACCATCTTCACCATATTCCTGTTCTTCCTCCTCATCCACGGTATCAGAGTCATATTTTCTCGGATCTATGTAAGGCACTTCAACCACTTGTGATTTGATAAAGTCCTCTGCACATATCAAATGGGCTCAAAGCTTAGAAGGGTCAAAAGCTAGATATGTGTATGGTTTTCATAGGTTAACAGCAAACTTACCATAATCAATCTCTAGATCCGCGGGTTTCTTATTTGCGCGTCTCTCCTTCAATGTCTCCAACTTCATTCCGTCAAGAGGCCACAACTCCCTAAATAGAAGTCATAACCAAAACCCCTTAACAACATTTCTCCCAAGCTACTAATGATAGTTCATTCAACAATACAAAACTACCAACCGTGGGCGCTGACCTCTCCTGAAAGCCACAAAAGAAAACTTTTCATCCTCGAACCCACGTAGGGGAACACCTTTTGTACGCTGCAAAAGGTAAATGTATGGATTTGGTGTCATCATCAAACATAGAGAAAACTAAAATCTATATATTTTTTGTAGACAAGTCTTAGCAAAAATATGGAACCTTGTAGGAACGCTGCGATGAAGTTCTCTGCAACCGCTGTACAAAATGGCAGTACTTTCCAGTGTTTTCCAGTGGGCACTTTCCGTCATGAGGGCACTGCATATGCAACCCCCTCCTTTGTATTACAATGCATTCATGTAATCGTTTTCATAAAAACTGTAACATCAAGTCCTTGACTTAGTGTTTGACAACTGGTTTCAGGAGATATATTGACACTTACTGGAGCAACAATATGCGCACCAGATTTGAGATCGAGCACGTCCTTCCCAAGTTCACCGTTCTTCAATTTCTTTTCCAGTTTACGTAGTTTCTAAGACAAAATGAATACATTGAAAATAAGCAGAGAGGACTAAAAAAAAATCGACAACAGAGTTCATTATATGAGTTATGAATGTATTTGTATGCAGAAGTAATTACCCTCTTCTCCATCCACAGTATATGAGACCGCATCTGAGATATAATATTAGCACCGTGTGGCGTTCCTGGTTCAATCAAAACCTATTCAACCACAATTTACAAAAAGAATCAGTAAAGCTCATTAATTTCAACAAATGAAAATGCAAGAGCATATTTGAGGAGAGGTAGACGTTCCACTAGAAGAGAAGTTATTGAGGAAGTCAAAAACATACCAAGATATCATCTGTAAGGTCCCAGAGCTGGCGAACCACAGTAATCCTGTCTTTCAGAGATGGGATCTCCCCTAAAACATAGGACTTGACCACCACAGGAAAACATTAGGAAATTTACTCAGTAAAAAACAAACTTGTACAGAAGAATCACAGATGATGTGACTGATAAAAGAAATAACCCACAGCGATGACAAGATCATGTTTCCTCTCAGACTTTTCGTTGATTTCTTTACACTTTTTGCTGATCTCTTTACTAAGAGCTAGCAGGCTAGTATACCCGTGGATCAGAGGCAAATCCTTGAGGCCTATCGTATTCAGAATAATGGTAAGATAAGAATCAAAAGATGCAGTTAAGTGTAGTAACAGCTTTGCAAGACGCTATGAAAGTGAATTACCCTGAATTAAGTTACGTCCTGCACGCTGCATTGACTGTGATGGTTCCACTATGTTTACTTTCTCCACGGACTTTGGCCAAACCTCTTTAACAGCCCTACAAGATGTTACAACGAATCAAGAACAAAACAAATAAAAAAAGGATCAGAACAAATAAGGAAACATCTATCCATCTCCTCACCAGAAACCAGAACCGGTGCCAGCACCAAAATCCAGCACTCTTGTAGGCGTAAAACCCGGTAATCTTCGACGAATCTATATAACAAGGTTTACAGTCTCAACCTCAGTATCTTCTACACATTTAGCTCAGGACTACTATACCAGATGGTATCACACATGATCAAACAATTTTAGCTAAATGCCTAATAATAAGAAATAGAGAAATTGACCTCAATGAGTACTCTGTAGCAGACGGAGAAAACAGCGGGCATACGAGAAGCAATGTAAGCAGCGGTCTCACCGTCCTCGTATTGGAGACCACTATCTCCATAAACGGTCTGTATCTTCCACCGCTTGGTCTCAACCGAGTTCATAGAATCTGCTAGGCTCTTGGCAGTTGTTTCAGGTAGCTGCAGATTCGTATCCTTGATCTCTTGGAACGATTCTGATAACTGGCGGACCTTCTTCCTAATGTGCGGATCATCTTCCTCGCGAAGATATTTCTTTATAGCGCGGCGAAGAGGGACGGGGACTACGAGGCACCGGAGAGACTGTTTGGCTGCAGACCTTAGGGTTTCGACCGTGAAGACTTTCTGGGCATTCGCCATTATCAAGCCGGAGAGCTTAATGGAACAAGTTGCAGGAGCCTCCGAGGTTTTAGCCTCCGAGGAGGGTCTGTCTAGGGCTTAGTGCCATGGGCCTTTCAAAGACCAAATTGTTATTTCATGGGCCTCAAAAGCCCTTTAATATAGCAGCCAATTATGGAGTAGTCCTACTTTTGAATAGTGGTGGTTGCATGTGGTTTTCAGAGTTCAGACCAAACAAACCGTGCATGTTTGGCTTCCGGATACGATTTCATTCCATTGATCAATAGAGATAAACAAATTTTAATAATATAGTCAGTACCAAAATCATGAAAAAATTATATCATGGTGTCTTTTTGATTGATGTATATAGATTACATAACAAGGACCTAGCTATTACATAACAAGGACCTAGCTAGCTAGCTAGGATTACAAAACCCTATAAACTAATAGATTTGTACATGTCGGGACATATCACAACCACATATACATATATATGCACACCTACACACACAAACGGAACTTATGGTTTTGGCCCATTATACTCATCTAGTATTTTATATATATTGCTATCTAGATGTATATATAGGACGACATATATTAATTAAAGGGCTTGGAGATATACACATATGATATAGGAATTGGGATGGTTGTTGGTTAAAAAGGTAGCATCAGGGAGAAGTGGAAGCTTGAGCAACCAACAACTCAGAAGCAGTCCATAGCCTTTGAGCTTTAAGATTGCATGATCCGGATTTAGATGTCCGGGCTTCGTTGCAGTCTGAGAAATACTTGCCAGACACGTTCTCCAATCTCGGACTTGTGGCCACGTAACATGTCGTAGCTGCCGCCTGAGGAACAGACTTCAAAAGCTTGGAGGTCAAGAAAAACACTAAATCTGTGACGAAGCCATCTCGGTCTCTTGTGAGGCGGGTTCTCACGATACCGGGATGAACACAATTGGCCGTCACATTAGCATCCATTTTCTGCCAAATATATATATAGTACATTTAGTTATTTGGTTTTTAGAAAATAAAGAAAATAAAAGGGTTGATAAATATATATACACGAAAAGAGAGAAAAGAACGTACATGGAGAAGACGGGAGAGCTCAAGAGTGTGGAGCACGTTGGCTAGCTTAGAGAGAGCGTAAGCTCGAGTCGCGTCGTAACTCCTATAGTTAAAAGAGACAACACGACGCAAGTTATACATTAAAGCTAGCTGGTCAACAAACTAAACTATACTAAAGTGACTCCCAAACACACAGAGATTACTATTTTATTGATTATTCTCTCTACAATTATTAAAAGGGACGAGGAGGACGACGGCGTTTATTTTTTTGTCGTCGCATCTCACCTTTTTTATGTGTACTTTGATTAATCAAATAATTCATTGATTAGTTAATAATTCGTACAAATGGAATGATGAGAGTATTATTGGTTATTATTTGATTGGAATTTTAATGATTAGAAAAAGAAATTGTTTAAATAAAAGAAAAGGAAATACCTGTAGTTGCGGGAAATATCGGCGAGATAATGCAACATATCACCGGAAAACCAGCTATGGATGACGGACGTGACGTTGACGATACGGCCTTGAACGCCGGTGAGTGCCGCCGTTTCAATCATCTTCTTCAACAATAGTTTCGTCAGCAGAAAATGGCCTGATTATTTAATCATTGGTTATCAATTAATTAGTTGTTAACAAAATGATCAATGATTAATATATGTATGTATGTAGAGAGAAATATAAAGAAGTAAAAGTACCGAGATAATTAGTGGCGAAGGTCATCTCCACACCGTCCTCAGAGATGGCGTGCTTGTGCGCGTATTTCCCGGCATTGTTTCTAATATATATACAACACACCAAAATTTGTTTAATCAGCTACATGAAAATTACGTAACATGACTGATATTTATGTATATAGAAGTGTATAATTAAGTTAACGTACATGAGGATGTTGAGTGGGAGATTAAGAGATTCGAAGTCGGCTACGAATCGACGAACAGAGGCGAGGGAGCTGAGATCGAGATGCATAACGATGATCTCCGACTCCGGAAACTCCGACTGTATCCGACCCTTCGTTTCCTCGGCGGTTTTGATACTCCGAGCCGGAAGCACTAGCCTCGCCCCACGCTTTGCCAGAACACGCGCCGTCTCCGCTCCTATCCCGGACGTCGCCCCTTGTAAAGACAAAGTAACAGAAGAAGAAGAATAAGCTAGCTGCTGACATGATTTGTGATATTTGAAACAGAAAGAATAGGTAAAACCATACCAGTGATGATGGCAGTAAGAGAACGGAGATCAGAGTTGGCAGTGACATGATCCGCCGTGGATCTTGATCCGAATCCGCTGGGGCCACCGGACCCGATCAGGTGTTTAACCGTCTCAACCATCTTTTTTTTCTGTTATGGGAGGAGAGAGAGCTAGCAGAGTAGTTGAGTTAATGAGTGTTGGGGGGGTTTTTGTGTTGTGTCTTAGTTAGAGGGTGGGAGGCTATTTATAGTGCTACCGTCTTTGAGGAACTAACGGGTGAGAGATGCGGAGATAGGAGACAACATTTTCCTATGTTGTGTCATTTTGTAAATTTTTATTTTTAAAAACGAGTTAAAAATAACACCATACGAGACGAGTGAGTGTATAAAAATATATTGTTTCTGATTAGCACCAAAAACAGGATAAAAATGGAATAATTCGATTATAATAAAATGTTTAGTTAGCCAACTCTATTTGACTAACATGAATTTTGTTGAGGAAGATGAGTCATATACCAAAACTTTTATAATTGGAATTGAAGGTCATTACAAACCATAATCTTCCAAACTCAAAAAACAGTAATATAGGAAGCTCACGAAACAAATGCATAGATAGTGCCATGTTTTGGGTAACACTCACTATTTACTAATCATCCCCAACCTTTCTAATGGTATCATTCTCCGAATCTTTTACATTTTTAATTATGGTCCCCTCCTAATCTCCTTTCCTTTAAAACTTCATTAAAGAGATGAAAATGCTATTATCTCTCTCTCTCACCTAGTCACACACACACACACTCTCTCTCTATTGAAAAGTGCAGGTTTATCTACTGAACATAAGAATATACACAACCCCCGTATCGAATTTTGTCTAACTAATTACCACATTATATAGTTTCTTCTCCAACCTGTTTCATTATCCAAGTAGAAATAAACTTAATTGCCCTCTTTTTCATCTATAGTATGTGCTGTATAGGGATGACTATTGTTACATTAAAGTAACTCAACTCCATTGCATGCCTAAATCTTATTTCTAAGCTTGCATGCCTAATTTCTTGCATGTCTAAATCTTATGAGACCAATATTCATACCCCTATAAGAATCGGTTAAATGTGAAAAGAGACATTATTGAGTAGCCCTATTTAGATCTTTCACAATATGTGTAGAAAGAATCATTTACAGGCTTACAAATAATAGTCCATTTTTTGCATGAAACATAAAATACATAAGAGCTTTTACAGTTACTTTCCTTTTTTCTTTATAATCAAACTACGTTCCTTGAGTCTTGACTACAAATTTCACTATTCAACACTACTTGTATCACTACAATACATAGGTTCAATAGCTTTTTATGAATGTTACAAGTGCATCTAAAACCGCTTTACTGTTAAACGAAGGTATAAAACAAAGACTTGGTCCTCTTTTTTTTCTTTCTTAAAGTCTCTTTTATATAATTTGTATAAGTTTGTATCAAATTCATCAAACAACTAGTTAAGTGATATGTTGGGAATATTCTTAATTTTCCACCTTTAAGTAATTTGTCTTGTAAAATTGTAAGTGGTTGAAGCAAAAGAGAGGGTGGGGGATTTTGGAGAATGACACAATAGAGTAAGCTAATTGGTCTCTCTGTGCTTGGAGGATCCAATCCGTCAATGGATGTGAAGAAGAGATCTTCAAGGCTGAATATGAAAATCATCATAAAGTATTAATCAATCTTTACCCAAATCCAACTACTACCCACTAACAATTCCACTAATTTCGTTTTTTATTTGTAAAATATATAATTTTATTCTATAATATGCTTCAACTCCAAACTATATACATGTGTCTTATTTGCAGGTCTAGAATGATCCATCTAATTAGTATTAAACAATTTCCTCTCATAGTTATAAGTTATCTCACCTCAAACTCGATATATATATATATATATATATTTATGTATACCCATCAAGAAACATAAAAGAAAATATGACTCCGCGAGGAAATGTAATCTATGTAAGGTCTTATGATAGCTCTTTATTAATTCCAACTACAAAAGAATGATTTTACGTTTATGTGGATCTATCATAAATATTTTCAATGAATAGTCTTAAATTACGAAAAGTTTATAGTATATAAGAAAAGAGTGGTCCAACCTCCAAGGATCAATAATGAATCAAATTTTGCATGATCATACATATATTAAAAAGAAATGATAGAAGGGACGTTGGGATAAACGCGAATTAGATGAAGTGTTGTGAATAATAAACTAAACTCCTCCACCTTGGGAGACCTTTGTCTCTTACTAAGTATCCCCACGCTATATATGTATTAGATAGCATATAAGAATTGGATTGTTGGGTGAGACGTTGAATATAAAATAAACTTCTTCTTTTCTTATTATATATATTTGATATATGTGATTAATGAAATTAAGAAAAGAGACTCCTCCACCTTTGGAATTGGAAGGACTTGACAAAGTTGGAATCTTTTGCTTTATGTTAAAACGGGTTAGGTTGTGTAATTGGACACCAACTTGCCAAGAGTTGGTCACATATCCTCTTTTTCTATTTGGCGTGCCACTAATATTGCTACCATTTTTATGTTGTTGATAAACCAATCATATATATTAACAGTATTATTCTAAGTTTTATTGGTAGCTAGCTAAGCCTTTCGAGAACTATTACATATATTCAAAGCTACAGAATATGGTCCATACAGTCTGAGATTTTTGTAAGTGGCTCCCTGATTCTCTTTTCTTTCATGAATGGTGTTACATATAATGTTTCTTGACCGATGTTCTTAATTTAAGAATCTATAGAACGTCCGTTCCTTATGTTACTACTATCTTTGTGATTTTTCTAGTTCGAACGAAACTTTGTGGGCATATATGGTTACTTAGTTAGATGTATTTGCTAATTAATCTTTTTGATATTATCAATCTTTCTAACAACATGCAACATCGTGTGGTGGTCTTAATACAAACAATACATCAGCATAAAATAGCGGTATATATAATATGTGGAGTGTGAAACATATATAATTCTAGCCTTTGTGGTTTAGATGTTGTTGACTATACCTACACTTGTAACTTGTATAGGGCACTTGTATAGGGCGAGCGATATATCCTATAAAGCTAGCTAGTTTTTAGAAAGTATTTCTTTAGTAATACAGTTTTTTTTTTTTTTTTTTTTTTTGAAATTTTGATATTGTGATGTATAAGTGTAGATCCGTTTACGTCTTAGCACAAGATCGTATCTTGCTTTTTATCATAAATATAAATAATATAAACCACATTAAATTAAAATAAGTAAGCCACGAGTTCCATTGATCCAAGGCAGCCACGAGATTCATGAGCTATGGATGTGTATGAATCGTCAAATTCCTAGTCAGCTTCAACCTCCTCAATTCAAGAAATGAAAATCCTTCTTCAACCATTATATATACTGAATGAAGACCTTTTATAGTATATATGATGAGGATTAATTAATAAGTGATGAGGAAAACGAGGGCCATTTTTATTTATATTTATATTAATGAGGTATGATGAGTATATTATGATGAATTGATGATCCAGGTTCCAAAGCATGCCTAAAATCAGGGTTTTGACTAGAAGAAGAAAATGAAATCGATGGAATCCAAGCGACAAGTGTTTATAGCTGAAACTGACAATTTTAGGAGAAATGAGTTAAAAAAAAAAGTAACGGTTGTTTTTCTTTTCTTTTCTTTTTTGGGGCTCAGAAAGAAGTCAGTTACTCTGGACGGTTTGGTTGAAGCGACTGATCCTAATAGGGTAGTAGTCAGTAATATGCAGCACGACAAAACCTTTAACAAAAAAAAAAAACCCCTGGACAGCAATAAACCAATCAAAGCCTAATTTGAAGTCTTTGCCTCAGTCCTCTTTGTTTCACATTCATCTTAATAATAATGATCATGACTATGGGAGAGAAGACATTATACCCTCTGAACCAACTATAAAGGTGGTTTAGTTCTGATGAATAAAGGAGTGTGAAGTTGATGGGGTCAAGCAACAAGGATATGGATAGGCAGGCGAAGAACAGCAAGCTGACTCCAAATCGGTCCTTGAAGGAGACGAGGTCGAGGTTATACATAATAAGGAGATGCCTGGTCATGCTGCTCTGTTGGAGAGAGCCTCGTGAGTAAGAATCTTGCTTGCCGTACCGTATGTATGATACTAACACAACATTGGTATGTATGTATGCTACTTAATTATACAGAAGAAGAAGAAGAAGAAGAGGAGCAGTGTGTAAAATGAAACAGTATAATACTATGTTCCACATTGCTTTGATCAAGAAAGCTTTATGGAAGGCACGCAGATGCTACAAAAACACTTTTACCCTGATGATGTCCGATTGATGGTGTACAACCTTGGGCACATCCATGCGTAGTAGTAGTAGTTATCTTGTTTTCGTTTTATATAAGCCTTTTTCCACTATGAGGGAATCAAAGACGTCAGTCCCAATGAAGAAATATTAAACTATGTTTACATGTATATGTAGATGAATGTAAGTAGTCAAGACCTTAATCTTGAGAGACATGCCTAAGCTAACTATTATTAAGTTGAGGGTAAAGAAAACACACTTGTAAGTTGTAACAAGATTATGTACACACAGCTTTAAGCATTCCTGTGAGTAATAATGATTGGCACTATGATAAGACTGTTTCTTTCAATATTCTTTGAAACCATTTTAACTCTGTACCACACCAAAAAAAAAACACAAAAATCAGAGGCTGACTACTTTTGGAATTCTCAAGATCATCATTTTGAAACCACGCCATTGTTCCCCTTCTCCTCCTCCGTTGAATTTTGTCGGACTTGTGAGCCAATTCAAAATTGGTTTGTTAATTAGGCTGCTTAATCGTAATTAAAGTAGACCGAAACGGTGACGTTTAGTGGTACCAAATAATTTGGTTTGGTTCTTCCTTGTTCCTTCTTCTTCGTCCCCGGTGGTGTTTGCTTTTGGATGCGGAGATTGCTTGCGACTGCGATTGCCTCATCCACGGCGAAGAAAGCTTTCCCCAGAGTAGGAGCTGCTGCTGCTCGAGCTTTTTCTTCTTACCGAGAGAAACTGAGAGCTGGGCTTCTTCACTCCTTGAGGTTTGAAGATGCGCTTGATTTGTTCTTTGAGATGGTTCAGTCCCAACCCTTACCTTCCACTGTTGATTTCACTAGACTACTCACCGCCTTTGCCCATATGAAAAGGTATGACACCGTCATCTATCTCTCCCAACAGATGCAACTCTTTGGCATCTCTCACGATCTCTACAGCTTCACCGTTTTGTTACATTGTATCTGCCGATGCTCTCGCCTCTCTCTTGCTCTCTCTCTTCTTGCCAGAATGATGAAACTTGGGTTTGAGCCCAGCATTGTCACGCTCGGCTCTCTCATCCATGGGTTCTGTCTCCGCAATCGGTTTGGCGAGGCCTTGTCTCTGGTTAATTCAATCCTCAAATCGGGATATGAACCCAATGCTGTTATCTACAACACTCTCATTGCTGGTCTCTGCAAGAGCGGTCATGTGAATTCTGCCTTGGAGGTTTTCGACCTGATGGAAGAGCAAGGACTCCGAGGGGATCTTGTCACCTACAACACTCTCTTATCCGGCCTTTGTTATTCTGGTCGATGGAGCGAGGCCGCTCGTCTGCTGAGAGATATGATGAGTAAGAGGATTAACCCTGATGTCATCACTTTCACTGCACTGATCGATGCGTTTGTCAAACAAGGCAACCTTTCCGGGGCTCAAGAGCTTTACAAGGAGATGATACAAAACGCCATCGACCCTAACCAGGTCACTTACAATTCACTCATCTATGGGCTTTGCCTGCACGGTCACCTATATCACGCTCAAAAAACATTTGCTCTGATGCTAAGCAAGGGTTGCTTCCCAAACGTGGTCACCTATAACACTCTCATTTATGGATTCTGCAAGTATAGGATGGTTGATTACGGGATGAAACTCTTCCAAAGGATGTCTCATCAAGGATTGCTTGGTGACGCATTCACTTACAACATTCTTATCCACGGTTATTGTAAGGTGGGCAATCTTCGAGTTGCCCTGGATATATTCAGCTGGATGGTCTCTTGTCGAGTTACTCCCGATATTGTTACCCACTGCATTTTGTTACATGGTCTTTGTGTTAATGGAGAGATTGAAAACGCACTGGCGAAATTCGATGATATGCGAAGAAGTGAAACGTATGTTGGTATTGTTGCATATAACATCATGATTTACGGGTTGTGCAAGGCGGATCAAGTGGAAAAAGCTTGGGACTTATTTTGTGGACTCCCTTTCCAGGGAGTGAAGCCTGATGCTAGAACATACACTACCATGATATTAGGATTGTGTAAGAATGGGCCAAGGCGTGAAGCGGATGAGCTGTTTAGAAAAATGAAAGAGGATGGGATCATATGCCAGTTGAATGGCATTTAGGAGAGCATGGCACAACTTATCAAGAATTCGGAATTCTCAGCTAATGTCCTACTTTTTGTTGTTGTTGTGGAACTTTGATTGTTGTGTTGCAGTCACATCATAAGAGGGATTGTGAATTGAGTTAATCAGGACAAGTCTGAAGTGTGTGGTGAGTGGATGGTAAAGAAGCACTCAAGTACAAAACTCTTGCAGGGGGTAATTTTTGGACATGTAAATGTATGCATCTAGAAATTTGAACTGATTTAGCATATTGTATAGAAGACTTGTACATCATGACCCAACTCTTGAGTTATTGAAAGTTGAAACCATCTCAAATTCTCAATATAAATATTGGAAATTTGTTCTATACCAAAAACAGTCATCATATATCCCCAAGGTACAGTATTGTAGTGTTTATTATGCATATCTTTGGTTGTCTTATGAGTAATCTGATTTGGAATTAAAGTCTCATAATGGAATTTTTTAGATGAGAAAAAATCAGGTGAAGTTTTGTCTATAACAATTGTTTTGAAACGCTGCCGTTTTGGGTAAGGAGACCTTATTGTTTACTCAGCGACATCTCTGATCGCCGTAGCAATGGTCGTCGTTGGTAGGGTTCGTCGGCGCACACATTGAGAAAGAGAGATTGGGAACGAAGCCAATCCATTTGGATGCCGAGATTAATTCCGATAGCGTCTTCGTCAACGGTGAAGGGGTTTCTCCGTCGGCATTGTCTTCTGCTGGAGAGAGGTAACAATCCCGAGACTTGTCCCTCGATTTCGTCTAGACCTTTCTCTGGTGCGAGCCGTCATCATTACCGAGAGAGATTGAGAAGTGAGCTTCACTCTATTAAGTTTGATGATGCTTTTGGTTTGTTCTGTGACATGCTTCAGTCTCGTCCCTTTCCTACCATTGTTGATTTCAGTAGAGTTTTGACTGCCATTGCTAAGATGCACAAGTTTGATATTGTCATCTATCTCTCTCAGAAGATGGAACTCTTTGGAGTTTCGCACGATCTGTATAGCTTCACCATTTTGATTCATTGTTTCTGTAGATGCTCCCGGCTCTCTCTTGCTCTTGCTCTTCTTGGAAAGATGCTCAAACTCGGGTTTCACCCCAGCATTGTCACCCTTGGCTCTCTCCTCCATGGATTCTGTCTCCGCAACAGATTTCAGGAGGCTCTATCTCTCGTTGATTCTATGGCCGGGATGGGATTCCAACCTAATGTTGTCATCTACAACACTGTCATTAATGGTCTCTGCAAAAACAGAGATTTGAATAACGCCCTCGACATCTTCCACGGAATGGAGAAGAGAGGAGTCCGCGCAGATGCTGTTACTTACAACACTCTGATAACTTGCCTTTGTAACTCTGGTAGATGGAGCGACGCTGCTCAGCTTCTCAGAGATATGGTGAAGAGGAATATCCATCCTAATGTAGTCCTTTTCAGTGCGCTGATCGATGCATTTGTCAAGGAGGGTAACCTTTTGGAGGCTAAAAACTTGTACAAGGAGATGATCCGAAGATCTTTAGATCCTAATATTTGCACTTACAATTCCATCATCAACGGGTTTTGCATTCACGGCCGCCTACGTGACGCCAAACATATGTTTGATCTGATGGTAAGCAAGGGCTGCGTCCCGGATGTGGTGACCTATAATACTCTCATAAAAGGATTTTGCAAGTCTAAGAGGGTAGAAGATGGGATGAAGCTCTTTTGTGAGATGACTCATCAAGGATTGGTAGGCGATGCATTCACTTACAACAATCTTATCTATGGTTATTGTCAAGCGGGCAAACTTAATGTTGCCCAAAAGGTTTTCAATCGGATGGTTGATTGTGGTGTGCCTCCTGATATTGTCACCTACAACATTTTGTTAGATTGTCTATGTAGTAACGGGAAGATAGAGAAAGCATTGGTTATGGTAGAGGATCTACAAAAGAGTGAAATGGATGTTGATATTATTACATATAATATCATCATTCAAGGGATGTGTAGAACTGATAAGGTGAAAGAGGCTTGGTGTTTATTTCGTAGCCTCAAGCTCAAAGGAGTGAAGCCTGATGCTATAGCATACATTACAATGATATCAGGGTTGTGTAGGAAAGGCCTACGGCGTGAAGCGGACAAACTGTGTAGAAGAATGAAAGAAGATGGGTTTATGCCAAGTGAACGCATAAATAGTGAGGCACTTAGAGATCACTACACAAGCTTATCAGCTGAACTCATTAAAGCAAATCATGAGTAAAGCGGTCTGTGCAGATGCTTATGACAATAAAATCAAGGCCATCAATATGTTATTTTGATGGGAGACTGGACAAACTTCAAAGTTATGTACCAACTCCAAAGCCATTTTGTTGATTGCCTTTGGGAAAGTTAAAAAGTCTGGTGGGAAAAGAAGCTCTAGCGCATAGATAAGTAGTCGTGTACATGTTGTATCTTTCATAAGCACATTTGTTGCATATACATACAAACACAATGATTTTTACCAGTTGTGAAATCTGTATGCTTGTATTTGATAATCCCAAATAACAAAATACGAATTTTAACCTCCACCTTGTGTTATAATCTCTTATACGCAATCAAGTTTCACTGTTAAGCATGCCTGTTATAATGATGCCATCAAGTGAAGTGTAAGCCCTTTTAAGTAGTCCATACATTTTTGAATACAAGTCAGGCCAAATAACAATACAAAGTGGTCCTTAATCTTCTATTTGATCCCAAAAAAAAACAAAAAAAAACTTCTATTTGACATTCCAATTTTTCTCTGTTATACAAAATGGATCCAACAAGGAGAAAACTACAGTAAGACAACTGGAAGCTTCCATATTTTGAAACTGAGATCTCCATCTGAGATACATACTCTTTGTAGTTGAGCTTACTCTTCTATTTACCAAGACCCTCCATCACTCTACTGCACTTGAATCATCCCATCTCACTGGGGCAATGCTCGATGCCAAATAACCAGAAGCGCGGGCCTGATTCAATCATTTCTTCCCTCCCAGCTCATTCTTCTCCTTCCTGATCACTCTATAATTGATCTCTTCCCTGCCAATTAAAATAAATAAAAATAGATTCTTTATTATACGCAAAAAGATGAAATGGGTTTCCTCAGAACTAAAGAGTTTCGGAAAAAAGTCTAAATGTGACAACACCTAGTAGCAACCGCGACTGTGTCACATAAATGATAGTATACTACCAGAATACGAACTATCTATCTTTCTTTCTTTAAACTATACAAATATTTACTCTTTGATTAGTGAGAGATAAATTGATTCCCAGTTCTCTCGCACAGCTGATACAAAATATCTACAGAATAATAATGCACTCGTAGTAAGAATCCCCTAAGCAAATAGATATCTCAAAAAAAGAAATGGCTGACCTGATCAGACCAAGCTGAAATGTCTTTCTTCTGCGTCATGCACTTCTCATCTCTGCACTCTGCGTTGTATTTGCGGTTCTAATGGAAGTGACCAAACCTCGTTAAAAGCAAACTCCATGGCTGCCATAACCTCCAAGAAGGTATACACAAACAACACAGCTCTCCAGATTGGCATAATATGATATCTCTGAACCTGGAAGCAACTTTTAGGAGTGGAGAAAAGCTAATCATTTGTAGCTGGGTCAAGAAGTTTCTCAGGTTGTCTCACTACTTGGGCTTGTTTCCGCCTGCCCACCACACTTCTTGGGTTTCTTCACTAGAGGGAAGGCAAGAGGACCCAGTCTTAACCGAGCAACACCTGCTTCTTCCTTTAATTCTGCATCTCTGCTCTTCACTGGTGTCCTTTTTTTGCGTGATATACTAGGACCATATTGTGCAATGGTCACTTCATTTGCAAGCTCTGTCTTCTCGATGTCCTTAAAATTACTGCTTATGCGACGACTACTCGGATCCAAACTCAACCAAGGACTGTTTGGAGAATCCTTGCCTAGTTCTTTGCCAGAATCAACATCTGTTGATGCTATTTCTACCACAGAGCTACTGTTATCCTGTGAAAGTGTGAGTGGAAAAGTTAATCACCAAGACCATTTACAAGTCACAGAAACACACAAGAAAGACAAAATCTATATATCTAGTGGAAATTAGGATCCACATATATTTATATCCTATTGTCACACAATGGCGAAAGTCGAGAGCAAATAAATTAACTGCGAAAAGAACCGCAACTTACTTTATCTTGAATTTCAATGATTTCTTCGCATTCTGAGCCTTCTTCTCCTTCAGAATCAGCCATCTCTTCACACTCAAACTCAACATGTTCTTCTTCCATCATCTCTTCCTCAGAGTCACTTAATTCCTCCTGTTCCATCACTATACCTAGATTAGACTGATCAGCCATCTCGTCAATGCATCTACTAATATTATCACTTGGTGCAGTTGATCCAGGCACTTCAGAGCCGTCGTTACGTTGAGTCATGCAGATGTCTGGAGCTTCTGAAATATTTGCTGCACTACCACAATTGTTTGCCTTAGAAGAGCTCGAGCTTAGATAGATATCTAAGTTCACATTTTTACCATGTTTGGTAGAGCTTAAAGGTTTCAAGCTGACATCATTATGACCAGCACCAGGGATTGAAGTGTGCTCAACAGTATCCTGAAGTTGACATAATTTGTTTTTCTTGCCAATGTCTGGGACTAAGTTCCCACGTCTACTAGTAAGATAACTCTTTTCATACTCAGTTCTTTGAAGAAGAGGATGAAAACAGCTGTCGCCCTGTGGTGTCTCATGTTCGTTTGATGATGAATTTTTGGGGAGCTGATCAGCTGAGTGATTGATTTGTTTTGAACTGTTGAAAAGACTTAGCAGCTGAGGTCGATTGTCAGAAAAGAAACTAAAACTAGAACCCCCTGGGTCTCTGTTTGGAGGGAAACATGTAATCTGTCCTTTCTCAGGGGTACGGAACAGTAAAGGATGCATTTGTAGATCTGAATTACTCTGCTCGCCCATCCCAGAGGATCTCTCTGGAGGCACATCTTCCTGCAAATCTACCACTTTCTCGCTACCGGGACCGTTGTTATCCCCGTCAGATGAAAAGCAAGGAGGTTCAATACCCAAATTTTCCCTCCCAGAAACATTAGACATGCCATCCTTACTGATACAAGTTTTGGAGGATGTTTCAGTCTGATTCTTCGCAAATACTGACTGCGAGATGACACGGACCGAAGATGGAAGGTTAAGGGGAGGCAAATCAGGGGCTAGTCTCACAACACTTCTGTTGCATAGTTTTCGAGTACGATATGGTCGCATAATTATAGATGCTCTTGAGGCATTGGGTGCTGTACCAGATGTGTGTTGGTACAGAGGAATGAAGGAAGGTGCAAGCCTCTGCGTACATGTCAGAATTTGGCCACCACAAAGATCAGGATTTTTGGATCCTTCAACGGTACATGTTTGTAATGACTCCTGTCGATCACCGGGAACATTCTTTGCCTTGTCAAAGGAGTGCATAGATGCAGAATAAAAGAGAGTTGGCATGCCAGGCCTCCAATCTGCTAAAAATCCTTCATGTAGGTATGCCTCACCTGAACTTTCGACCAATTCATCTCCAACATGATATTCATTGGCTTTAGAAGCACCATGATGACCCTGCAACATGTGATGAAAGATGAACAAAGCTAAATTACATATTTTTACGAGAAAACCAAAATTAACATATTCAGTATGGATGAGTAGTATGATTTAAGAGGTAACCACATATATGAAAGACAGACCTCTTTTACAGATGCCTGCTGCTCTCTGGACTTTCTTTTTGTATCATAAAGTCTCCGCTTTTCCTTCTTTACAGCATCTAGCTTATATGATTTCTGAATTCCAAGGGCAGTGCGCAATTGCCGTGGCAGTGTGGTTGGGTCTCGATAAGGCACGACAAATTTCCATACAGACATCCAATCATATTTGAAGTACTTAAGCCCCTGAGGATTCAATTTATACTGAGCACCCAAACACCATTTCCAATAAGAATTGCAAGAGAATGCACTTGTCAGGTTACCTCTTGTATACGTACTATCTCTTGTGGAGTCAGGGGAGAGCTTTTCATCCTCAAAACTGCCTGTGGGTGACAAAATTTACACATACACACCAGTTAGGAGAAAATCTGCATGACCTTAAAATTATGGCTGGAACATCTTATTAGGGACAGAATAAAACACATTCGTCTTTTGCCATCAGTTGGAGTCCATCTTAAACATGTAATGCTCATTTGCATAACGTATGTTCGGTATAAAAGCATACAAGATGGTCATCCAACGTTCTCATTTATGACAATGAGTTCGTAATCAGATTTCTTTTATGTGCATGATATAACCCATATATATGTAATGGTTTCACAGTGTTTATATGCTAGCAAACAAGTTCAGACCACTGAATTTACGGATTCTATAGCCAGACAGAGAAGTATACAAATAAAAAGGTGATAAACTAAATCAAGCATATAACAGACCTTAATTGGATTCTCTGGGGCTTTAGATGATCTCCGGTTTTTCTGCCTAACATAAATCTGAAACAAATACAAGTCGGACATATTAGAAGACATGAAAGTCTTTTATTTCTTTATCATCAGACTGGTTGACATGAAAGCAGAAGAATGACAGACTACATCATTTGCAACAGGACATGAGTCGACGTGAAGTCTTAATATCTTCATATTTATCTAAATACTTCACAGGTTGTGTTCATATAGCACTTACAAGAACTAAGATAATGAGAGCAATCTAATCAATACCAACTGATTACTTCGTAACCCAATGACCATTCCTAGATCTGCAGAAATTCAGTGATGATTACCTGATGCTCGCCTTTACATGGAAGAAACCGCTGCTTTATTGTCTTCCAGTCTGAGTTATATTCCATTATTCCAAGAGCCAGTAATCTGCGTTGAAGCAGCACAAGAACTAAATTTCCGAGTACATTAGTAGATTAGACAAAAATAAAAAGGGAATGGAACTTACTCATCTTCAGCATCAGTGAAAAGGACCCGATTGGCGACAGCTGCATGAGGTGGCTTGTGGGGATACAGAGATACTTTGAACAACGGCAAAAACCTTTTAGCTAACTTGGCGATATCCTTGTGGACCAAGGCAACAGATTGCTTCTGGGCTGACTCAACAAGTGTAGCAGCTAACGTCTTCTTAGATTGCTGCTGACCTGATGGTGACTTACTTGAAATAGGGGATAAACGAGGATTGTTTATGATCTCACCACCAACTTCTTGGTGAGGAAGTGTAAATAATGGCACTCTTTGAGACGAAGGATCAAAACCGGATTCCACTTGAGAGCGTCGGTAATCTTGAACAGCTACAATGGTTCAATAATCAAGAGAAATTATATTGCATAAACAGGTAAGAAACATAGAGAATATATCACCCTACTTTTGAACCAATAACATACCGTCAGAAACATCAACTAGATATCTTCCAGCTAGATCGACAACATCCAGAACCGATGATGCGGAACCAGAGAGAAGAAGATGACTTGGGCGTGAAATATATCCTTGGTGTTGATTGAGCATCTCAGATAGAAGTCCTTGGACTTGGGTCCCAATGTGCTGCCGCGAATGATCAAGGGCACAAAGAGAGTACACTTGGATAAGAAGTTGAAGGTGATCCTGAATCAAACAATGCAGTTCTCCCATTTGGGCTTGACTGAAGCCATTAATTGTCCTGTTTCCTGATGAATCCACTGCTTCAGTAGCAGAAAACCTTCCAGCAGGTGGGGCAATGGGTAAGATAGGTACAAGAGGGCGTAATAATCTGCCAGCCTGTTCAGGAGAATTGTTATTGTGGTGAGAGGAGATGTTTTGCTGTCTCTTCTGCCTAGTCACGGGGCGTCTCTTAGTGGTTTTGTTGTCACCTGTTGTGACCTTTTCCGGAATAATTTCCTCGTCATCAGTCTCGAGTGCTTCCTCAAGTTCGATCTCGAAGTCTAAATCGTTATCCTCATCATCGTCGTCGTCATCATTAGTTCCACTCTGTGCCAAGGGAACCTCAGTATCACCACTATGTAAAACAGCAGCCAGAAACTTGCGGTATTCTTCCTCATCATCGACATTTGGAATATCATCCTCATCATCGGTCTCCTGGAGAAAAGCCTCAAGATCATCAAGGGTGAAGCTGGCAAGGGAATAGCGAGCTCTAGTCCGCTTGCAGATTGCATCCTCCTCCTCCTCAGTTGAGGTAATACCTTGCTTCTGAGTTTGGATCACGCCACACAATTGTTGTCCGTTATCATTTGGCTCTACAGTCCTCTCATCATTGGAACTTGGCTCAAAGCCAGCCCGTCCTCCGGGATCAAGAGAGTCCTGAGGGATTGGTTCTTGGCTGGGCGTGGCGATTTCGTGCATTGCTTGGCTGCCCTCTAAGGTTTGGGAAACAGTGCTATTGACAATTTCACCATCAAGAGTCTCAACTTCAGAGCTCAAACTGGAAGAAGCTTCACGGGAAGGAGTATCCTTGAGGAAAGGATTGAAATCAACATCTTCCTCCTCGTCATACTCGCACTCTGCTTCTTCTTCTTCATCTTCCTCTTCGTCATCCGCATCAGATGAAGCAGCATCTACGTGGAGGGACGACGGTTCAGAGATGGGAGGTCCTGATATTAGGGCTTCCAATTGATCCAACGATTTCATGACTAAATTAGGGTTCCGCTATCTAACCATGACAACAATTGGAGCAAATTCTCAGACCACAACGGAACCAATTCAATGTAATATAATAAGATCAATCTCCTAAACACCTGATTCCTTCGATAGACACAAGCAAGAACCTTAAAAGGAGCTACAGTTTAGAGCAAAACCGCAAGAGAAGGATTGAAGAAAACGTGACTGGGAAGAATGGATTAATAATAATAATAATAAGGATTGGGAGAGAGAGAGAGAGAGCTCTGTCTCTTCTCTTTTTCGGAAGACGAACAAACAAACCAGTCGGGTCGGGTCGGTTGAGCGAGAGACCTTTTTTTCTCTTTTATTAATTTGTTTCTATTACTACATTAATATCATCTTGTTTATTATTATTTACTTACGTTAATCCAAATAAGTTTTGAGTTAAACATTTGGGCTTTACCATGAGGAAAAACATTTGGGATTTACCATGAGAAAAAACATTTGGGCTTTACCATTTCAATTTTACCTAAAATAACAGTTAATTCTTTTTTACGGATGACGATTGGATCAGTAAAGTGGACATTGTCATTGGATGGATATGATAACTTTCTTTCTTTCTTGTTTCAACTCCATCCGTCCATCCGTATGCTCTTACTATACCAAACACAGTAATAAGTTTCAAGTAAAGTCCTTTAAACACAAAAGCAAAATATAATCTCCAGGCAAAGAAGACGACTGCACTGCTGTCTCGTATTTGAGGTTTTATATAATAAAACGCAACATGGATTTGGGTAAATTATAATAAATGCAGCGCAGCTTAAGTTGAAGATTGGAGAAGTTTCTTGTAGTCATGGAAGGTTCCATGGAATGGTGCAATCCTGCCGTCTGACACTACCCACAGCTCATCCACACTTCCCGATATTAGATGCTCGTCGTGACTCACCTGCATAAACAACCAACAAATATTGATTGCTTCTTCGTCTATGAATCAATAAACCTGAACCGATGATTTGTCTACTGGACAAGGATTGAGAGAGAGTACCATGCAAATACCGCCTTGGAATAAGACTAGTCCTTGGATCAACGCTTCCACAGCATCCAGATCCTGAGAATTTTTAACATTCCTACTTTTAGCAAACTGTAATCCTTCCTTATTTAAGAAGATGCATAAAATATAAATATATGTAGCTTACAAGATGATTGGACGGCTCATCAAGCAATAGCAAGTGAGGTTTCTTGAATGTTATCTTCGCAAATGCAACTCTGCTTTTCTGACCACCTAATTTCCCATTCACATCCAAAAACATTAGTGAACCGTAACAAATCACTATCGCCACAACACATAATTAAAATAGTTCTAGTTTCGTTCTAGGGCTTGCATCTACAATTTTGTGGTTATAGAACTCCAAACACCTAAAGATACCTGATAAAGTGTACATGGGCTGCAGGGCAAGATTTCCAGTAACCCCAAGAGAACCCAAGTGACTTCTGAGTTTTTGTTCCGGTACTCCCTGCAACATCAATCAAATACAAGTTAAGACATCTTGCCAAGCCGAGGGCTTGTAGATTTTTCGCTAACTGAAATTGTGCTTGTAACTTGTAAGAAGCAAAGAAATAGACAATACTGTAAACACTAATTAAACACCAATATATGAAACATTTTTAACTCGATTACAATCTCATGTTAATTGAAACATAAACAAAAAGAGGGATATTACGAGTGTGGGAACTTACTGGATAGCAGCGCATCATATATAGGAGAGGATTCGAAGAAAGGTCTAGCCCATCCACATGATGCTGACTAAAGACAGCAACTCGAACCTGCAAAGGATATCAATACACCATATCAGAACCACCAAACTAAGCATTCACACTTAACAGAGCAGAAAAACAAGCAATCAGAATTCTAGGTAATGAAACCTTAAGATTTAATAATATCATTGTCAAAAAAAAAATTCAAAAATCAAATGCTTATTTAAGAGCCCAACTTCTTGAACCTAAAAGGGGTCATCTCATATGATCCTGAGGGACAATATTCAATTTGTTGTTTAGGTAAAAGAGTAGTCTTCTGCCATACCTTAGCAGAACGGAAAACTGTTCCAGAGCTTGGTTGCAGGTCCCCGGAAATAAGTTTGAGTATAGTTGATTTACCAATACCATTGGGTCCCACCACTGCAACGAGAAAACCATATATAGAGATTAAAATGTTGGGAAGAATCGTAACAAAAAATTACGTTCTACATGTTTTTTGATGCTGTGCGTATTGGTATCCACATATGATAGATGAAGATTTATAAACATGTGTAATCTGTGAGATCTCATAATCAAGGGAAAGGGGAGCTTTCTTACTTGCAATACGGCTGTCCAGATCTATTCCGAAGTTTAGGTTCCTAAACAACAACGGACCACCAGGGTAGCCAAATGATGCATCACTGTAGAAAGAACGAGCAAAGAAATTTAGCATGTTGATTCTGCATCCTCCTCATACCAAAATTATAGAAGTTTCTGTCAGATTCACACAGCTGGTTTCTGGAAGTTGACAAACCTAAAACTGATAATGGGAGGTCCAGGCTTATCGTCAGGAGTTGGGAATTCAAATTTGTAGCTGCAAGAGAAAGACAATAGGTCAATGTATAAAAGGCAGAAGCTGAGAGTATATATATAAGAGGGGCTTGCTTACTCAGGATCATTAATAACTTGATCCACATGAGCCAGTCGGTCCAATGCCTGAATCATAGACACAATAATATTAGAGCATCGCTGAACGCCAACATTTAATCACATAAATAGGTGTAACTGTTGACACCTTGATTCGTGACTGAACAAGAGACGCCCTCTTTGCATTGTAACGAAATTTATCAATGAACGCCTGTAGCAGAAAACAAGATATCAAGCATCAAACTGAAATCCCCATGTTGGAATACTGTTAAAAAAACAGGGACGAGTTGAAAACAGAATTCATGAGTTCATTTTTCCAAAAAAAATAGAAAAGAAACCTGCATATGTGACCGTGATCGTTCACTTGATTCAAAAGCCTTTTGCTGATTTTTCACTTGTTCTTCCCGTGTTCTTTCGAAAATATCATAATTACCCTTATAGGTACTTAGTTTTTGGTTTTGCAAATGAATGATGTCCGTGACCACCTGCAGCCAAAAACAAGTATTACACATGTCCAGAGATATTTGGGAAATAATAACAGCATGGAGATCAATAGAGAAAAAGTACCGTGTTCAAGAATTCCCTAGCATGGGAAACAACTATAAATGTTTTTGGCCACTTCGTTAGATATGTTTCTAACCATAAGACAGCATGGAGATCAAGATGGTTCTACCAAAGAGAGGAAATGAATGTCAGAACTCAGAAATCTGAAAACAAAAAGGATAGATTGATCTAATAAGGGAAACTTTATAAAGAAAACACACCGTAGGTTCATCAAGCAACAACAAATCAGGCTCTATAAATAGAGCACGAGCAAGTGCAATTCGCATCCTCCAACCTCCCGAAAAAGTATTTGTAGCTTTCTTCTGCATTTCTGGAGTGAAACTTAAACCCTGAAAATGACGTAGAGAGCGACATTTGCAAGTTAGCAGACTCAGAAGTTGGAGGCAGGAAAAGCACATGAAGATTTTAACAGGAGAGAGGACCCAAATCTAGCAATTTGTATGCATTATGTAGTGATGGGTCACGACTTGCGTCCAGATATGCATACCCTTGAGTCCAGATATGCATAACCACTTATTTATATCTATACTCTCAAACGGAAACTCTAAAGGGCTTCAGAATATTTATAATGGTAAAGAGAAACTTACAGCAAGGATACTAGCTGCCCGAGCCTCAGCAGTATAAGCATCAATTGCGTCAAGCCTTTTGTATATTTCTTCAAGTCTTTGAGACATAAGATCTGCTTCAATGGTGTCTTTGGTAGGCATTCCATCCTTAGCTGTGGGTTCTTCCATTTCTCTCTTCAGATAACCCAACAAGAGTCAACATTACCACCAAAGACAGATGATACGAAAAGACAAAACACCTGAATGAGTAAATACTAATTCTTATAAGTAAACAAGCTTGATCTAACCTGCTTTGCCAGTATTTGAATCTCTTCTTCTAACAGCTTGGTTCTTTCAACATCAGTGTTAAGAACACATTGTAAGGCTGTCGTCTTGTCACCGACCACTTCTTGTTCGACATGCAATATCTGGCAATTAGTAGGGATGCCCTCTATAGCGTGCATAGCCATATACCTCAAAAAGGTTGTTTTTCCGGTACCATTACGTCCTACAAGACCTGTAGAGTAATCCAAAGAGAACAAATTCCCATTTGTAAGCTAGAATTCTCTTCCCATCTATTCCTTGGATTAAACTGACAGCTAAAATAAATAATACCGAAGATCAAACCTACCGTAATGGCGTCCAAAAGAGAGGGTAATTGATCCATCCACAATGAGATCACGGCCTCCAACAGAAACATTAAAGTTATCCATATGAATATCTCTGATAGCAGAGCCACCACCAGTGTCATGATTGACACTTACAGTAGGCATCCCTGCTTTAGCGGCTTCCATTTCAGCAACATGCTGTTGATATTGTAGCTGCGAAAACAAAAAAAAAACTAGTAAATCACACAATAAAACCAAAATCTAAACAAATAAAAAGGAAGCAGTCATTATTCTATACCTCTCTTTGGCGATCATCCTTTTTCTTTCTCCTCTCGATCTTAGCTAAGTCACGTTCTGTGAGCAAAGGCCCATCCACAGGCTCTGGCTTCTTCTTCTTAACGGGTCCATCATCCATTCCATCGTTCATCCTTACAGGCATCGCAAGACTCCTCACGGTTGGTGTAGGCTTCACCAATCCATGCTTTCCAAACTTATCCGACAGTTTGCTACAAACCTACACACCACATTCTCCCAGTTACAAACGCAGCATTTCTTTATGTGACTATCTCAGCTCATTCAAAAGTGAGACCCTATTCGGTAATTCTTGAAACCATTTCAACACAGATATAAGTTCCCCACTCACAGAGACCCTAAAGAAATATCCCAAAACACACACACAGCAAAGATAAAACGAATCTCAGATGATACAACAATTGAACTGAAGAAGGCCAAGCTCCGATGATTTGCTTACCAAACGGCACTCGTCGAAATCAGAAACGCATTCAGCAGCGACGAGGAGCTCACCAACGGCATCAAAGGCACCTTCACCTTCCTCACCGAAGTCGAAATCCTCATCGGCGAGGACATTGATGATGTAGTCCATGATCGGCTCGTCCACATCCTGAGCTCTGCGTCCGAGCACTTCATAGACAACCGAGCTCGCAA